TATATATATATATATATATAATGATTATTGAAAATATGTGAAAATATTCTGTAATGTGACAGATTAACGTGAAATACATAAGATGATTATACAGTCTGTTTTTATATTTATAGGGACTGGTGGCTTATGTTCGGAGGTATAACTACGTTTACTTTGATCACTAGATTTTACAGAGTCAGGGAACCCCAGCATGTATGGTAAGAGAGATCAAGATAGGATCAAAGATCCTATCAATATTATTTAAGCTTTGTTAACTTTCTTTAAAGGGGAAGTTCTCAGAAATTGTTGGCTTTTAGTTGGGACGAAACACATTTCGGCAAAATGGGCAGTTGGTACATAAACAGGACGTTCTTCTTTGACGTGCATCCACCTTTGGGAAAGGTAGGTTTCTCAGAGAGAGAATTCTATCTAGGTAGAAAACTCAACTGTCATGAGACTGAAAAATATTTTATATTCTGTTTTAGATGCTCATTGCTTTGTCCGGATATATGACTGGCTATGATGGGACGTTTGCTTTTGAAAAACCAGGGGATAAATTTGAGAATGTCAATTACATCGGCATGAGAATTGTAAGTTAATTGAGCTCTTTTTTAATTAAAATTGAAAAAACGAGACCTATCAAATAATTTACAAAATTGAATGATATCATTAAAGTTGCAAAAAGTTAATCAAAAATATTTCCCGTCTTAGTTCTGTACAATTTTGGGCGCAACCACTGTCCCTCTGTCGTATCTTATTGTATGGGATCTTACCAAGTCGATTCGCGCCTCTACGCTTGCTGCCTTCCTCATTTTGTGCGGTAATTATAACATTTTTATGATTATAGATAATCCTAAATTTTTTGAAGATCAACGAAACGACTCGTTTTACATGTTGCAGATGTAGGATTGTTGACGTTGAATCAATATATTCTACTGGATCCCATATTGTTATGTTTTATGATGTGTGCGACGTGGGGCATGGCACGTGTATCGTCACTCCGAGATCGTCCATTCACGCGACCCTGGTGGTCCTGGTTGTCGTTCACCGGAGCCTCGCTTGCATGTACGATTAGCGTGAAATTTGTCGGGCTCTTTGTCGTTTTACTCGTGGGTCTTTACACCGCATACGAGCTCTGGCGAGAATTGGGTGATCTGTCCAAGCCTATTGTGAGTAGTTTAATAATAAGAACTTGATATCGAGACTTTTAACGTTGCGAGTAGTGCAAATTTCGCATTTTTATTAATTGACATTAATAATGTTAGTGATTAACGAACCAGTTAATGAGTTTGTGATGCTATTAATTTAATAATTAGTAACAGACCGAATGGACAATTGAATTTCCAAAGGACGATTTCAATTTTGTTTTTTACAGTCTTATGTGGGGAAACATTTGTTAGCAAGGTGCTTTTGCCTCATCCTATTACCGGTTTTACTTTACATGCTATTTTTTTATATTCATCTTTCCGTTTTAAATAAGAGGTAAGAATTATTGCATTGACATATAGGACATGCAATTTTTTAATAGCCTATTTCTATTAATGTCAAATATCTTCTGCTAATATTTAATTTACAAATGGACGTTATGGTTTTACTTAGCGGAAGTGGCGACGGCTTCTACAGTTCCGAGTTTCAATCGTTATTACGCGGAAATTCTTTATATAACGCGACGATGCCGCGACAATTGGCGTATGGTGCCACTGTCACATTAAAAAATCATCGCACAGGCGGTGGTTACTTGCATTCCCACTGGCATTTATATCCCGAGGGAGTTGGCGCTAGGCAGCAACAGGTTGTTATACATACGAATACTTATATTTAACACAAGATAGAATTAAAGAGTAAAATATAAATATAAAGTGAATTTAGATAGAATACATAGATTGATAAATTGATGTCAGCTATATTGAAATAAATGATATGATGCATATCTTATTTTAATCGAGAAAAAAAGCGAAAAATACGTATAATAATAGAATAATGATTTGAGTGGGCGACAATAGTGGGCAACAATGAGTAAAACGAAGTTCCTCTATTGTTAATTAACGTATCTGACGTATTACAGATTACGACCTATTCTCATAAGGATGATAACAATCTATGGCTGGTGAAGAAATTCGACACAGACGTCATACCGCCAGAGCCGGAATTAGTTAAACACGGCGACCTCGTGCGTCTGGAGCACATTACGACGAGACGGAATTTACATTCACACAAAGAGATCGCGCCGATATCGAAGAAGCACTACCAAGTCACTGGGTACGGAGAGGTAAGGTGATTTCAACGTGATTCTGACTGGCGTTAATTTTTTCATGAAATGTTTTTTTTTTGTTCATCAGAATGGTACGGGCGATGCTAACGACGTTTGGAAAATATTGATAACGAATGGAAGAGATGGCGACGTGGTGGAGACAGTGACAAGTAAATTAAAGTTTGTGCATTACCTTCATCATTGCGTGCTAACGTGCAGCGGCAAAACATTGCCGAAATGGTTAGTATTGATAGAAATTACATAAATTTAATTCTTTCGTAGCTCGCGTAAAACCAACTTTCCGTTGTACGATAAATTTTTAATTTGTGTAGGGGGTACAGCCAACAAGAGGTTTCCTGCAACCCTAACATGAGAGATAAAAATGGGTTATGGAACGTCGAGGATAATCAATACGCCAAATGTAAGTGAGCGACATAAACCGTTGAATTTATCGATAACAATTAAGGCGATTATAACACTGTCCATTTTTATTAGTACCAAACGTCAGTTTCCGAGTATACGCGCCAGGATTCCTCGACAGATTCTTGGAGTCACATGCCGTGATGTTGCAAGGCAATTCAGATCTAAAAGTAAAAGAAGGAGAGGTGTCCTCGCGACCGTGGCAGTGGCCTATAAACTACAGGGTAAACGATCAATTTTTACATTATTATTCGCTAAAGTAATGTCATTGCTATGGCGGGCTGACGGGGCAAATCCTGAAAGAAACCACTGTTTTTCTCTGCAGGGACAATTCTTCTCCGGGAATAATCAAAGGATATATTTACTCGGCAATCCCATTATTTGGTGGGGAAACATAGTCTTCCTCGTAATATTCATAATTCTTTACGTTCACGCTTCTGTGCGCGAACAACGAGGCTGTATCGATGATGCCGTCATGATGGAGCAGCGAAGAAAGATAACGCACGCCGGCAAGTGGCTCTTCCTCGGATGGATACTGCATTACGCGCCTTTCTGGGCGATGACCAGGGTGCTGTACTTTCATCATTACTTCCCAGCGCTATTATACAGTTCCATGTTGACCGGGATTACGTTGAATCACATCATTGAGAGCCTTCTACTGCTGCTACCCGGCAAAGTGGGAAATACGATTTATCATGTTGTTCTGGGAATCGTAATCTCCGGCACTGTATACAGGTAAAGTCTTTCGCTCAAATCTTACAACGTCGACGTAATTTTTGGAGTTTAAGGATCTTCGATCGGATGTAATTTTTATTAAGCTACATTGAAAGATATTTGATGAAAATTTTTTATTAAATATAAATTGCAGTTTTTATCTGTTCTCGCCGTTGGCTTATGGGATGGACGGTCCGTCCGCCATGGATCCCGACAGCTCGATGCATTCTTTAAGGTGGATGGAATCTTGGGAATTTTGAAACCTGATTTATTCAGCGTAACGGAAAGTATATATACTTGTTTCGCGGTATAATTAGTAATGCAGTATATTTTACACTACTGTATGTACTACTAAGAATACTAACTTACATCTTTAACAATGACTGAGATATTGGAAAATGCTCATCTTATTTATATTTTATATATATTCAAACTATATATATATATATATATAGCAATTTATATTTGTTTTATATTTTTTACAATTTGTTCGTACAACATTAAAATGATTTAATAGTAAAACAATCGCTGTTAAGTGTTTCAGCCATTCCATAGTTATTCTGTCAGAAACCGGATTTCCTTTGTGATTTCTTTCAAGAATGTTTTCGCGAAAAACAAAATATGCCATACTTAAAGAAAAAACTACGCTCCATGCGTTATGTTTTCCTATATTGCCGCTGGATTTTGTCTTGCGACATGCTCATACCATGCCCAGTCTGCCGCCCTAGCGATAACATCATTCTGCTGCAATATATCATTCGTTTATATCGTAATATATTATAACGATAATACGGCTACATATACATAGACGTATTTGTCGCGGGATGAGCCTTCATCATACGCTCACTTTCGAATGCACTACATGCGCTACCTTCGGCTACTTATCTCTGAAACCCCCCCTTCAAGATGATCATTGTAATCCGCCAAAATTTAGCCGGATGTCAGTCGTTATATAATCACTCATAGAATTATCGTGGAGATAATGCGGGTCAATAGAACGCGCGATCACCAAGAAATGGCGTATATATCAGAGCGACACGTCACGCTGAAGAGAACGGGTATGTGCATATACACGTGTGTGTTTTTATCGATGACGAAAACGCGTGGGCAATTGACAGGCAATGCTGAGTTCCTTGCTAGTAAAATGTGAGCTTTCGCTACGGAAAGATAGTTTCGCGATCAAAAGAATCCGCATGGTTGAAAAGCTCGAGAGCATCGTGCTGGAACAAGTGGAATTTGGAGGCTCGGCGTTAGATAAAGATTGATCGGTGAAGGAAAAGGAAAGAATATCGAGAGCTTGAAAGCTTCAAGCTCGAAGGTTTCTCCTGTAAAGCCTCGAGCTAAAAAATTCCTCCAGGAAAACTTCGAGCTTGATAACCGCGCGCGCCATGCAAGAGGTTGACTCGCCGAGTTAAAAGCTTCGCGCTCGTAAGCACGCGTTATCGCGCGCGCGCGAGCTTTCGTTGCCAGTGATAAGAGGGGACGCACGCGTATCGTACCACCGCCGCCACCGCCTCCACCGCTTCCACCGCCGCCGCCGACGGTACCGATGACGACGATACCGAGGCCCGAGGGACAGGGACAGGGCCGAGAGCGAGACGCGCTCTCGGATACTCGAACTCGATCAGTGCGCGCTTCCCCGCGCCGGCGGTCCGCCGCGAGATAGTCATCCGGACGGTCGGTGCCCGGCACCGGTCCGAGCGTCGCGTCGCGGTGGACCAGCGGATGCCGCAATCAGTGGCGCGTCGGCGGCCGCTCGTGCCGGACATATTGCGGGCTTGCGAAAATAGGTAGGGATAACGAAATCGCTCGCGAAATTATCAGCGAGCTTCGCCTTCGCCGCGAGAGATATCATCTACTCCGTTTAAATAGAGCGATCACAGTCTCGCTCGTGCGTATATTATAAGCACTTGTTGCTGGCAGCTGGGATCGCGTCACGGGTAGACTCGAATGACTCGATGGTGTCTCTATACGTGGAGAGCTTTCACCGTCGGACGTCTTGTCTTCCCCCTCGCCGACCTCGTGAGCGTCGCGACGACGACGTCGACGACTTGCGCAACGCGTCGCGTCAACGCGTCGAAAGCGTCTCGTACTCGAGGGGAGTGAAGCGAACATGCGATTGTCTTTAACATTGTGTATACAATCGCGCGCGCACACAATTGCCGTTGCTAGGATATGATAAATGAAAAAAGAAAAATGTGCCTGTGGTAATCCATGTCTGCGTTTGCAAATTGTTTTTTTAAATAAATTCAATTGCGCTTGCTGAAAAGGTAAGTTTGGAAATTTTAATTACTCCTGCTCAACCACTTGTGCTATTCTAATCTCCAGATTCGATCTCATTTTACGATCATAGATAAAATATACCGAAATAAATAATATTGATTATTTGCTTATTATGAACAAATCAATATGAAAAAGAACTTTAATAAGTTTTCCTTTCGTAGTCAATACTTCTGAGTATTGAGAAGTAAATTTCATAGAGTTAAAAATTCCGTCAATTTTTTAAATTCCTTTTCTATTGGAATTTTCTTCGAATAACTAATAGCGTTTTTCATTGACAGAACTAGTGCGCTCTTAGTGCACATTAAAGCCGTTGTACACTGATTTAATCTTTAATATTTAAAGTATAATGCAAATATTTTAATTGATAAAATAGCCAATACATATTTTATCAAACAGTACAATAAAGAATATTAAGACTTTCGTGACTTAACCCGTTTATATTAAACATACACATTACGTTGATTTGTGTACAACGGCTTTAATGTGCACTGAGTGCGCACCAATTCTGCCAAAGAAAAACGCTATAATTATTCTAACCTCGGGATTCAACCTTGTCTTATGATTATTGAATGAAATATGTATACTAAATACGAAACAAATAATCTTGATAATGCTTTTATCGTAAAATAAAAATTATGATTAAAAAAGTAATAAAACATATATTTAGGCAGATAGAAGAATTAATTTCTAATTATTAGTATTAGAGATTATATTATACAGTAGAGTGAAAAGTTTCGTCAATTTCCGTTAATGTTTTATATTCGAATACTCGTATTATTTTAATTTAATTTTTAAAAATTCTAATTTTTTTTATTGTTCCAATTTTCTTTAAGCAGTAGCTATATTGATAGAATAATGGAACAAAATTTGCTTCAATTGTTAACGTTATTCAAAGATGTTCGAAGATGCTTAGATATACCTTCGACCTTCCGTCATGATATATAACGTCGCTCTCTATACGTAAGTGTATAATTATAGATTACTTATTGTTAGTCACGTCACCCCGAAACGACGATAAACGGATATATGTACGGATAGATAAGCGGAGATATTCGATCCCGTTTTTGCGATATCGAATATCGAATATCAATTGTCGATGTTTTATTCATTTATTCTTTATTCACTAGCTTTCGCTGACCGAGCCCTGGATAGCTCTGGTTAATTAATCCATGATACATGCACGACTGCCTTTTCGCGATCGCGGTTTCTTTAACCCTTTAACGGATCTAATGCCCCAGTACGGTTCCGCAATCATCGATAAATCTTATCAGAGCACAGCGATTATGAATCACGCAACATTTTCAACAGAAAAATTTAATTTCCTTGAACGTTATCCCTGAACGTTATACGCGCATTTTTATTATGTCAAAGTTCGAAAGTTTTATATTGAATATAGATGATTTATGTAGCTTTTTTATTAAATATCTTGTCAATTTTTTTTTTACGTCAAATTGCGCGATAATTTTTCATATTGCAAATTTAGCGCGGTAATTAAATACTTCTCATTATAAATCTTGTCAATTTTTTACGTCAAATAACGAGATGATTTTTCATATCGCACGTGTAGCGCGGTAATTAAATTATTTCTCATTTAATAAATAATTCGTCGATTGATGATCGTGTCCTGGCGAAGGACAGGAAAAAAGCTTTTGTTTTCTTTCACTTTTTTACATAAATTTATTAACTCTAAATTAAAATGAATTTTTCGTGTAAATTCAAATTAAATCTGCAGTTCTTCGTAATCTTCGTGACTTTAATTTTCCGTCACATAACTCACGGTAATTAAATCGCAGATTAAGCTTTTCCGCGTAATGAAAGGATTTATCGTGCGGGGTCGCGACGCACGAAGTGCAAAATGATCTCGGGAACAACGGGTTGAAAGAAATCGTTCGCGACGCTCAACATTAACGCCATTCATGCGTTTCTTCGACGATAAGCACGCGGGCAGCTTATTGCTTCTTGCGCTGCCGACCGCAGGAAGTGTAAATTAACGATGGAATCTGACCTACTTGACGGTGCATATCGTACAGATCTGCCGCTCCTTCAATCTTTTAAATGAGTTATATAAAATTCATCCGTCACAGACGCGAGAAGGCAGTCGGATGTGATCACTTCCGAGCGCGATGAAATGCCGTGGACTCCATTTATGTGACGGTTGCACGAGTCTCGTGAAGATCACGCGTCTCTTTCAGGAAGCTATCGAAATTATTTCACGTGCGCGCGGTGCGAAATACCTATAACGAGAAAAATACTCTTATTTATAGGCAGAGAGACCGCAAGAACACATTTTTTATCTCTAGTTATTGATTGAAAGCTCAACACCAGGAGGATGTAAGTGAGGGAAATGGAATTATCACGAATCATAGCTATTGAAGCCCTAGAATCTTGAAATAAATAGATATGGAGAGATATTCATGTGCATCGAGACGTCACAATATATGATTAGGGAAATGATCTCGGAAATGATCGTATAGTGAAAATAACGACAAAACATAAACCGAGCAAGGAAACTGCCTAAATCATAGTTGAAGATAGTCTCTAATATTAGCGTGATTTTCGAATCTCTTGGTTCTCGTTATTTATCAATTGTGAAAGTAATATTGCGCGTTCGCCGAACATGCACTCGACGCTGATAAGAACTGATAACGCGTTATTTGATTCCTGCACATAACACATATGTTCAAAAAGCGTCCTTACACGAAGAATAAACGCGAGTGATCCACTTGACATTAATGTTTTTCTGCGCAACGTTAATTCTGTCATAAAACATTAATTTGATACACAAATGTGTATTGTCATGTATAAGTTATCGTAATTAAGAAATTTTTTGTTCTTAAATCGTATAAGAAAGGAAATTAGCGGATTTGTCCTTTGACCGCACGCTGTATATTTTGTATTTCTTCGTTATACGAAGCTGCATTTCTTCTTTTTCGTAGCATCTTGTCGAACCGGACGGGCACCTTCCTTATGTAGCAAGACGTCGGAATATGCGAGAAAGCGCCTTAGCCGTGCTGCTAGCATGGACACTTGCGGCCCAGCAGGGGCTGTGCGGCAAGTTAGAGAAGATCGCCCAACAACCGAGCAATATCTTAGTGGATTATTACGCCTATCGTCACATCTCGATCATCCACTTCAATGTACCCGAGCGTACCGTCGCGGTCGCCTTCAAGTACGTATCGGGTCGAGAAAGAATCGGTGGGACATTCTTCGAGATCTTGTGTTTAACGCATGCGGTCCGAGGATGTATCAGCAGCGAGAGATTTTGTCCTTTTCTATTTATTAGTTTCTACAAATGTTATTTATCGCCATTAGTTCTTTTCAAAATGACCTAAAAAATTTATATCTCTAAGTTGGTTCGATATATATGTTCTAATCTAAAGAGATTATTCAATGATAACGAACAACAATGAACACTTTATTCCCTCGACTTGTTTTTCGCTGAGCTAAAATTTTCTGTTATTTATTTAAATTTTTTTTGTGTTCCTCGTACATGAAGATATATATTTTGTCGCGCTTTAGATTCATGGCGAAAGAAGAGAAGACTGGCGGGATAGGTAGATGCTCACCGGTCAACGTCTCGTTATATCTAAAGTCCGCTAGTTTGCCGTTCGTCTCTCCCGATGGTTCGAAGGTGGCCGCGAAGCTGATGGAGACGAAGAATCGTCGACGACATTACAGCCTGGAGATGCAGAGCAACGGCGAGCAATACATGATCAAGATAGAGGCTCCGTCAGCGGGTGACTGGTACGCGATCGCCTTCCGATCCTGGACCGATCCTGAGGAAGGCAAGATCAAGCAGCAAGGTAGAGGGAAACAATTTATTATTATACTTTCTTTAATGAATAAAAAAATCGGGGATAAAATAAAATTATGTTATTGGCCGCGCTTGTGTATTTTATTTTATTATGAACGTTTGTGATCTTTGTAGTTCGATATATAATAATACTAGTTTGCAAATTTTTATTTTGTTTTTGCTCAATCAATATAAATACCATAAATTTTTAAAGATATAGGTCCACAACATATGTACATTTGTAGGAAAGAAATATCCACCAAATCTTATTAAATTTTTTTTTTCAAAAAAGTATAAAAAGTATGTAATATTAAAGTAAGTTGAAATATATTTAAAACATTTTAGACCATATTGGCAATAGAAATGATTGACTATAAACTATAGAGGCTTATATCAGTTATGGAGACTCGTTATCAAAGACAGTGCGATGAAAACATGATGAGTAATTACTGATCTCTTCTAAAAGAAACCCAGCAGCTTACAAGAAGCAAAAGACTCATACAAAACATTTTCATATTTCTTTTTTGAATTATAAATAAATTATTTCAAACATAAAATGTTGTATTCTTTAATTTTTATATTGTTACTTCTTTTCCTGAAATTTTGGCACTTATACTATTTATTGCAAAATGTGTAGGAATTTTTTGGTTGGTCATGAGCAAAAGCACTGTAAACTAGTATAATTCTTTAATAACGAAAATATTCCTGAAATAGTAGAAATATTTCTGCAAAAGTATTCTCTCGAAAGTAAATTATTTTTCGGTATTTATAAATAAAAGTGTGTAGCTATATATTTTTCCGAAGCTTGAAGAAATGGAGCCGGATTTTGCCGATCTCCACTGCGCTATTAAAGATTTAACGCGAAACTACCGTTTCGTAGGTATCAGCGTGTCCTGTGAGACCGTGATGGACGCCGAAATGTTCGTGGAGATGCCAGCTACGACGTTCTTGGTGGATCCTGAGATCAAGTATAAGGTACAGCTAGACGAGACCTCTGACACGACGATAGTGCAGTATCTTGTGCCGGACGTCGGCCTCGAGGAAATGAGCCTGTTTCTCAAATCGTCCTGCGGCGAGGACTGCAACATTGCTGTCCACATCACGGCAGAGGATAATCTCGCCGGTAGCCTGTTCAACTCCACGGAGAAGTCACTCTCTTTCAAGCCCTACCCAGGCGATTTCCACTATGTGACCCTTCGTCTACTATCGGGAAACGCGTCGAACGTGACGCTGCAACTGCCAACGAGTCGTCAAACGGACATCGGGGTCGATCAGGTGACGCCGGTGGTATTGTCGAGAAAATCCTTCCCCGAATTCTTCCTCTTCGATTACGAACATCTGCGCGGCAACGACACGAAGCCCCAGCCCTTCAACGTGACCGCCGACGCTCTCTCCGTCCTTAGCTTCGAGATCGGCCGGGTGTACGATGTCGGCGGCACGGTCACTCTGGGCTTTAAGCTGGTCGACGTGGATGAGAAATACAAGAAGAACATCGTCCTCGTGGCCTGCGTTTCCTTAGGTTGGTTCGCGTGTCCTAGAAATCGCCTCTAATAAATTAATTTCTTTCGGGATCAAAATAGGAAGTAGTCAATGAGCAAAGTTTAAGCATAAAATTAAATCGGTCGCTTGCGCGATATCTCATTTTACAACAAATCTTTGTTTTGCGATTCAATATGTAATTGTAGAAAAAATGGCACACATAGTCTATACAAAATTTATATCTACTAAGATTAATTTCTTGGCCACCGTCTCATCATCTCCGTTTCTTTGGATTTCTTTATTAGGATACTACTTGAACATTACCTCGGGCGGTGCCTGCGTCCGTGCGCAGGGTCTCACGACGGCGGACGTGTATGTGAATGCGACCGAGCCAGCTTACGTGCATGTGCCTTTCCCCGAAGCGGGCACTTGGTACGTCAGCCTGCGTGTCTTCTGTCCCGAAGAAGAGGAGAAGAAGACGATCAGCGCTGACAGCGGCGCCAACATTAGCAGCAGCACCACCTCTTGTTCCTGCGGTCGCACTTGTCTGCAGGGCGATGTTGCATGCGAGAGCTGTGACTGCCTGTCGCGCTGCACTGCCGTCCGGGTGGAGAGCGTCGTGTCATCGTCGCCGTGCGTCGAGGGTCGTTGCGGTGGTCATGGCAAGTGCATGCATTATATGAGCGGCGGCTTCGTCTTCTCGGCGTGCCACTGCACCGGCGGTTATCGCGGTTTCGACTGTGCGGACGACACGTACGTTCTCAGTACCAGCGGCATACTTCTGCAGCTGCTCGCCCTCACGTTCAGTAACTTCGCCTTCCTCGGCTCGATCTACGTGGCGATACGACGCGAGTACTTCACCGAAGCGGTTGCCTACTTTGCGGTCATGTTTTTCTCCACATTCTATCATGCCTGCGAGGCCGGGGAGGAGATCTACAGTGTGTGCATCATGCGGTTGAGCGTGCTGCAGTTCTGCGACTTTTTCAACGCGCTGCTCGCTATCTGGGTGACTCTGGTGGCGATGGCGTCGTTCGGGCCTCGATTGACTGCTTTCTGTCAGGTAACCGGAGCGATTGTGCTGGCGATGGGCGCCGAGATGGACCGCACTGCGCTCTGGGTATTCCTGCTACCGGCCGTCACTGGTTCCGCCTTGATTGGACTGTCCTGGGGACTTAGATGCAGGAGAAGGCGCACCATCAAATATCCCTCGCGTCCGTATAGGTGAGAAAGAAAGGAATGTAGGAGAAAAAATCAATTTTTATCATAAAAATAGAATTTAGAAATGTTGCATAATAAAATGGTTGCTTGATAAAGTAAAAATTAAATTATATAGTAGAAACGGTTAAATAGAAATGAGTAGAATATTGTAATAAATAATAAGGCAACGTTGAGATAATGAAGTTAAAAAATTTAATCTTTTCATATGCAACCGAATAAGTTGTATTTTTCATTGCATTTCATATTCTTCCTACCTCATTGCAACCTTATTGCAACACGAAATGTTCTGTTCTGTTTCTAGGACTATCTACTTCCCAGCCGGAGTTCTTCTCGTCTTTCTGGGCCTCATTTGTTACGCGTTCCTGCAAACACGCAGGAATTATTATCTCGTTCACAGTATGTGGCATATCTGTGTCGCAATAGGAGTTATTTTACTTCTTCCGAAGCGCAAGTACATGAAGTGATGGTCAAAGAACGACGTATGCGTCCAGGAGAGATTCGAGGAGACCGGAGATAGTATCAGAAGCTAAGAGATGTGATAGTAGGCAACCAAAGAGACATCAGGGAAATTATTACAATACAAACAAATAGATATCATTGACGAATCGATTTTTGTACGAAAGGAATCACAAGCGCCGGTTTTAATTAGCATCTTCTACGTAAAGACATCTTGAAAACTGCCATATCTTGAAGATATCTTAAGAAAGAATTATTTATAATCTTTCGATTAAAACATAAATTATTCTTCTTTTACTTATAAAGAAGCTTTCTCGGCTTTATCGTAAAGATGCGTGCGATTCGCTTCGTAGAAAAGTTGTTCGATCGATCGAATTCGGCACTTACGCATATATTATAAATATGTATATCAGAGACATTATTCTTCTAAAAAGCATCGGCAGTATATAGATACGAGAGTGTTCCGAAGACGGAATTAACTCGGCGAGATCGATCAATGATACATTTAGCAATAAGATGCGATACATAAAGCAAATTTAACGACAGTATTACATCAAGGTAAGTCGCCCGTGAAAGAAATTTTGCTCATTTTAATAAGCATTAAGGAAACTGAAGAAAGTGTGACATCGACTTTAAGATGTTTTTGTTCTTCATTTAGCTTTCAACAGAATTAAATCCATATTGAATGTAAATATTGAAGTTTGAGAGTCACGAAAATATCGGAAGAGAATAATTATCATAATTATTGCTGAAATTGATGTTGGATTTTATAAAGTTGTTTATTATTCCGCGAAGCATTTTCGAAATGCACTTTGACATTCCGAGAAATTTATTGATCGCACGAATATAGAATATATCGCTATACTTTGTTAATTCAGTCGCGACCTGTTTGTAAGGACCAATTCTAAGATACGTAAAATGTTGGAAACGTTATGAAAGAATCAAGAATATCTTCGTGCGAATGGTGCTCTTTTATTCATACGAATGTTTCCTGCTATCCTTAGTCTTTTATTAATGATAGCACTATTGTTGTAGCACTATCGTAACACTATTAATTTATAATTACTGCGTACTGATAGCATCCTTTTTCGATATCATTTTGACGACAAATGCGTTCTTACAAGAGCATGCCATATTCAACAAGTATACATTCCTCATTGCTCTTTTCTTATGTAGAAGGCTTTAAATTTTAATTCATCTTTCTATTGAACATGAAAATAATTTAATCTTCATCTATATTAATGAAGATAATACGAGCATAGAAATGTAATTTTAAGAAACCAGCCCTTTTTTTCTAGGAATCAATACCTCGCACACGAACGTCCTGCTCCAAGAATAATACTCGAAAGTGAATGAAAAAGTAAAAAGATACATGTCTCTTATATTTTATAACTGACAAGTAACGTATATCTATAGTACATACATATAGAAATTATATTCTTCTACGTAAAGCACATGTTACAGGACATGTTTTAAAAAACAGATTTAGGACCTGTTGTCTCAACTTTTGCACTAATATTTCCGCCCCTGCCAGATATTATAAATAATCCACACACAAATGTTCTCTCTTTTAACTGTGCGCTTTAACTTTCTAGCCAATAATAACGTCTAGATAGGAAGATAATGCTCAAAGCGGAGTCATTTTTTTCAAGTTGCCTTGCACCGTGACAAGAGCGGAAAAGCGAAATAAGTAGGAAACCGGCGTGTCTTTACTTTTCGATTCATCCTCGCGTCTGTGTATGCATGCTGTGTTGTCCGAGGGAGAGTAACGCATATACATATATAAGTAAATACAACATCGTCACGGGCAGTGCCTGTACTGATTGTTGACACGTGTTAAGCGCGATGCGCCGCGACCGTATCGCGACTCTAGTCGATTCTATTTTCCTCAACGTGAAAGCCATTTAGACTATATAACATTTTCTACATATAGCCGAAGAGAGAAAGAAGAGTGTGTCACGCTGAGCGCACGTGAGTGCACGGGGGTTTTGTCGAGAAGGATTTCACTTTTGTTAATTTACAAACGTACACAGACACCCAAAACACAGATGTAATTCTCTACGAAATAAAGATGAAATTATCGTTATACGAGTCGAACTGAAATATCGCCAAAGCTATCGAGACTTTCGCTGCTCGTGATAAATAATTTCATATTTTGGTATTATGAGTTAAATATGGTAACGGATTCTTATCTTGTCTACTTCTTCATCTCATAGAATGGAGTATACGCAAGATACAGCGATGAGTTGTCATTTTTTATGCGCTTTTTTTCTTCTCCTCTGCTTTAATTTGCTATTTAAATTATAATCGCCCTTTTCTGAAGAGCAAAATTACATAAGCAAAGTGTTACAATGACGAGGAGTCAGTGGGTGTCGTGACGCGCGCGTTTGCCGTCGCGATGACGTTAGCCAGCAGCGATAGCATCGTCTCCATCGAGAAGCCGCAATGTGGATACGATCTTGAGCAGTTTCTGCCGTTCCTACCAGTCTCCACCGCCTCCTCGATCGCCGTGCCTTGCATGGCCGTGCGGAACACCTGGTTGGTGGTAACTGCGTTCACCATCTTCTCGAAGGACGTCGTCTTCTCGTCCTTATCGTTCCTGTTTTCGTTCTCGTTTTCGTCACCCGCCGCGGCAGCCGCCTGCTGCGAGTAGGTGCATACCGCGCGTTGCATGCATGAGGTCGTGTCGATGCCGTAACGGGCCAGGACATCGTCAATCCTCGTCAGGGTCTGGGTGAAGCCGTTGTCATCACCTGCATTGAATTGATTTTATACGAATGCTGCATATTCACGGATGCGCGGAATATTCACGAGATGCTAAAAACTCCTTGTGGAGATTTTTCCTCGACGAAAATGAAAGAGAGGGAGGAATGTTGCTTTTTCGAATTGTTCCAAATTTTTATTTAGTAATCAAGTTTTGAATTAAAAATCTGTAAAGTTGTAAAATCATGTTCTGTGAAATAATATTCTAAAAGATTCCCTGTTTGCAATGGCTTACAGTGCGGAAATGATTATTTCGACGAGAAATTACATTATAGAATATAGATCTATAGCGGATACAACACTTACTTCTCGCGTACGCGCCATAAGTGCCCGACAGGATATAGAGCAGCTTTGGGATGATGAGGATCGATCCCACGCCTATAATGGCTCCCAAGAGAAGTCCGCCAAGATCTATCTTTGCCGGCGCATAAGGTGACACTCCGTAACCCTGATCCGGATTTAATTGATTACACAAATTTAATTCAATTACGTCACAACGAGTTGCCGATTAATTGATTCCAATTACTGTCAAAATTAGACATCGACGAAGTAGTACAGTAAATATAAGCTCTACGGCAAGTTTTTAAAGTAAATTTTATAACATTTTTTGAAACAGGAGATAGAAGAGAAGTAGCGTGACACTTATATATGTCGTAAAAATGCAGATATTTATAGAATACGAGAAAGACAGGAAGAGAAATCCGATTCAATACTTACACTCCCAGTACCTCCGACATTGGTGAAACCAAATCGCGCCTCCTGGCCGCGATCCACGATGTCGTTTGTCTCGGATTCGCGTTTCGATGGTTCATTGTGCTGTTTAATCTGAGACGACGGCATGGCCACTTGATCCTGCGCCTTTGCCTGCTTTTCCATGTAGCTGATAGAGCTCGGCACAAATCTATCGATAGATCATGCAAAGACAGATACATAACACGGACGTCTTAACGATAAAAAAATTGACATCTGAATAATTTTTAGTTTTTAAGTCTCTTTTGAAAGCCGTTTGAGTATTTTTTGCACTTCTGCGGCGTTCAGAAAGAAATATTATTCAAAATTTAATTTAACCGTTGAAATGAGACTTACCCTCCATCATCGAACTTCGGACTGCAATTGATCAGAATGGCGAAGCAGCTTATTGCCACAGTTAAACTTCGCGAAATACAAAACGTCATCTGAGAAAGAAAAATTGAAAAGACAATAAACTAATGATTAATATATTAATATTAATATATCAATAAATATATAATTAAATGTATTTACATTTACAATAATATTTACGTATCTTGACGAATATTTATTGGTACTCTAAAATGTTCTATGATAAAATATATAGACAAGCTAAAGATTAGTCGTTAAATACTATCGAAAATTAAATGTTTGAGTCGGTAGTTTTATTACTTGGATAAATATATAAATTTCTTGAAATATATTATAGATTTTTTAAGACACTGTGCGAATATTGTATTACGGTAAATCAAGACAATTATTTGCTGTGACATGTATCGCACAAATACGAATACGTAATTTATAATAAATGTAAATTAATAAACGTAAATTATTCGAAGTAGATGAAATAAATACCTTCGGTGAGAAGGGTGAAGCAAACTGTCTAAGATAAAACGTGAAGCTTCAGCCCGAGGTCAGTTTTAAGAATGAGATATGGCGATTCAGTGTCACGGACTGACTGCGCGATGCCTGCTTTCTGGCATATATAGTCGCCTTGGTCGTCTGAACACGACAAGTTGTGGACGATAATTGAAGCCCTGGTTTCGCTTTCATTGTTAGATTTTCGTGGTGCATGACGTCTCCCCGTCGTCGTCGTCTTCGTCATCGCGAGCGAGGAGAAGGCCGTCTTTCTGCAACGGTTGCAACGGCGCGGCGCGACGCGTCGCCATCGCCGGTCACTCGAAATCTCGAAGCTGAAATAATAGCCAGCTGTCAACAATGTCCTCTTTTAAGACGTTCACTGACTTTTGACACGGAAATTTCGCGACTCCGGCCTACGGCACCTCGTGACTGAGATGATCTCCTCTGGCTATGTTACGACTTCCCATGTTACGAAACGCGCGCAACCTCGAGGGTGATTACGGCCTGTAGCTGCCTAATTGTGTTTACATGGTTTTGACATTTTTAAAGAAGGTATGGTATGGTGCAATCAATAATTTGGTAAAATTAAATTTTAATAACTGTTAATGTGTGCGATTAAACGCACATGATGTCGACGGAACTTATGCTTCGGAAGATTCGAATTTCGCGAGGAAAATAGAATAACTCGATAGAAATAAAAGTTATCTAACAAACGACAAGAACTAAAGAAGTATCTATGTAAAATTTGTGGAATAATTTTAAAAAGAAAGCACATTTTTATTTAAAGCAAAAGGGGAGAATGGGGAAGAAATATCAAAATAAGATTCATAAAAGTGTCGCCGATTTTTAAAGTCACGGAGATGTGAATCAAGGAATCACGGACAAAGGATCAAGGATCTATAAATGCAAAAAACAAAAAAGCCGCGAAAGCGAACGTAACCAGATTTACGCCACGAGATCATACGTCGGAGTCTTTCCGGTGAAATTTCTGGGAAAAGAAATTCCATCTGAGCGTTCGCCGAACGTCGCACGGGGGGGGGGGGAAGCTATTAGGTATAGAGCGCGAATCGAAGCAAAGCTCCCTTTCGCGAAGCTCGCGTGTCGCGTGTCGCGCTCTCCCCCAACTCGAGTTCGAGAGGTCCGTTCTGGACGGTGCCCCAGGAAATTCGCCGAAAGCCACGGCCGGCCGAGTCCATAATTCTAATATTGTCGTCACCTTCGTGCGTTCTTTTTTGCACTGGGTGAAACGCTTTTATAATAATTCGCGAGAAACGGTCGCTCGTGCTAATAATTGCGGGGATAATTACCGGGTTAGATTAGGTTCCTTGACTTCTTCAATGCGACGAGGCCCGTGCGCGACAGAATGTAAGAGCGACTCCCGGAATGTAAAAGCAATTAATAATACATTATTGTAGATTTCGCCGTCCAGGGTTCGTTAATTCTAACGCGAGAAATCGGTATTTCCTGTTCTGATAGGGCAAGCGAGACTCGTTACGGACGGGACAAATTAGTGGGGGTCTGCTGCACTCGACGTTGAAAAGAACTCGAGTAGTACAAATGCATCTCATTGTTTCGCGGGCGGCAGAAAGTCGAGGATATAGAGAATCTGAAAAAGAAAGTGTTAATATTTCATTTCCAATTCTCAACTATTCTCAAACAGATTTTGGACATGAGGGCCACACCGACAGACTCGGCCGCCCTGACTCTGATTCTTCTACCTTTTGCGCTGTTCTTCGTGCGAGTTATCGGCGACGGCACTACGCGGACATTCACGAAGCCGAACGGTCAGAAATCGCAGCTCATCTCGTTTGACACTAAAGGCGGAGAAGTCGAAGTGAGTATACGATCGAATCGAAGTTGATAACGTGGACATTTTTAAAACGCGTGTGTAAATCCCAAAATTAATCTCATTAATTGAGTGATTCTTTTCGATCTCGAGTCATTTCTGAAGAATTTGTTTAGCCTTTTAAAAGATCCTTCCTAAATTTTCCAGATCACTTGGGATGTGTCGGTGCCCTTCTTCACGATACCGTTGAATCACGTAAGCGAGACTGGCGAGGTATTACCGCTGCTTAACGTTAACACGAGAGGGTTGTCAATTGCCGGCGTGTTAACAGCCATCCTCTCTTTGGCGGTGCCTCTCTTCTCGAAGCCAGGCCCAGGAATGCAGTATCGAAGTACGAGTTTTATCTTTTTATCTCTACTCGTTGGTCTGCGTTAAGATGACAAAATTTATTATAAATACTTTTGAATTATCCAAAATTTATATGTGAATTTCTTTACCAGGTCTCGACTCGCAATGGTCGCAAATGGGAGATACGATAAACGAGATTGTGTTTAGCAACCGGTACGTCACACCCTGTGTCCAGCGCATTGTTTGCTCCGTCGTTTCCGAGGCGAGTCAGTCCGACAACCCTACGAGCACCGACAAGATTATCGATGGATTATCAAGGTACGTCTAACTTTTAATATTATAATTAACAATAATAGATAATTAACAACTATTAATAAGAAAAATATTATTTTGGGGATTTTTACTAATTTAATTCAGAATTAGATAGAGGAAAGTACCCGATTATGAGATACCATATCTATTTTGTGTGATTGTCGGAAGTCTATGGGCAGAATTGAAAAATATAGTGGTCATTTTGAAGGGAATTTAATAAGCTTTAAGATGCTGAAATGTAAAATTTAATTTAAATATTAATTTTGCTGAAAATTAGAAAAATGTGAAAAATGAGCTTTCGGCAAAATCGCAAAAGTGTGCTCCTAATATGAGAGACCCCGGGAAATCGCTAATAAAGTGCAAAATACATGATATTGCAATTAAAAAATTTTATTTAAAGTTTTTGAAAGACAAATGTAATGGAGAAGCATATTTGCAACAATCGTAAACCCACTTATACTCAATATTGTACCTAATCTTCCCCCTCCACCCTTCCCTCTCAAATCAAGGTCAGCACAGTCTTATAAATTCGTATAAACCTTCCCTTAACGTTAATATAGTATTTTCTCTTCTTTTATTACTATACAATAACTTTCATACTCCAGCAACCCAGGAGTACTCTGAGTATTTCATGTTACGAGCACCACGCCTTGCGGTTTCGCGATCACCAAATCTAATCTCTACAATTGAGCAACTCAACATATCCCGTATTTTCCTATTAATACGACCTTACTCTATCGCTGCATGCAGAACTTATTGCCAAATATTTATTAATTATATAATAAACAAGATTTAAAGACTCATATCCATGACAACTTGACAACATCCAATTTCACAATTTCTTTCTCTGCAACGACTACACGCACGATCAAACAATGAATTTTTCACTAAATAGGTTTTACCCCAAAGGCAATAAGTTCATGGTGGAACCAACAGATAGGGCCTATTAGTATAGCAGAAACCTCGCTGTCGCATATTAAGAGTCTATCTCATATAATAGGGGACTTTCCTCTAATTATATTATTTTGGATGGAGAAATTTTATTTGCTTATTTAGTGAATCTTAACAACATTAATATTAATAAGATTTAATCAAGATTTACTCAAGTTAATATATGTAATCGTGAGATTTGGAGGAAGAAATATTATAAAGACCAACTTGAACAAATATGTGAAAGTAAGAACAAGAGTGAGATAATTAATGTCATAATATATTATTATCGGACGATAAAATACACTACAATAATAATTAAATAACGATTAAAGAGTAAAGATTTTGTCTCTTTTCTGAAAGGTCGTCGAAAGTTACATTCATATATCACGCTTCGTTCAGCGACATTAAAATTTATGACAAAGATATTAATTATTCAATTAAGAAAAATTGAATATGAAGATTATTGTGAATCAAATTATGTTAAAAATTTTATTATAAATATATGCAGAAATATCTTAATTAATTACATGAGAGATTAAATTTTAATCACATATATTTATCTTAAATATTTTAAACAGTCACAAGTGGTTTAAGGAATTCACGAATGGCACAGTCATTCAGGAAGCTATTAAGGTAGGTCGAGAAGGGCATCACGATTGCGGCCGCATTTACAAGGAGTGCTTTGTGTCGCCAAAAATTCTTAAAAGTATGATGGGGCAATTCGGCACAATTTGATGTCGCGACGTTCGACGTTTTGCAATTGTAAATTGTAAATTGTAAATGTATTATCGATCGCGAAATAGGCGACATTTGCGTATCCTTTTACAGTCGCATATCCTTTTATTACTGCGAAACGAACAGCGAACGACTTTGCGAAATTTTTGCAAAACACTCTCTGACCCGACGAATCTGTCTCACGTTCAATTTTGAAACCACTCGCGGTGTGACGAGCGAGTTATGTACATCAAAACGACCGATCTTCATTATCCTGATGCACGAGGTGTGAAATTTCGTTGCGCTTAGAGAAACCACGTCGCGTATTTAGATGACGCGCTTTCACTTTTTCTTTTACACAAATCGTTAGAAAATTACTGCGATTTTGACAAACACGTGTCTGGTGTCACGTAAGTCATTCTCAACCAATTTCGCTTAAAACAAACGATTTCGATTTCTTCGTGACAACGCAAGTAAAATTAAGAAGATTTTTCTGCGCGTTCCTTTTCTGATGTAAAAAAAATTCGAATTTTTTCAAAAAATTGAAAAAAAAAATAAGAAGAGTAACTTTAGATAAGATATACGTGATCATTTTTTATTTAAATTAAAATTATTTTAAAAGTATGCTATTCAATTAAATATTTTATACAATTTTATTCTGATTATAATGTAATGAATATTAATTCAAATAACCATAGCAATAACAGCTGTTATTAATATTAATATAGGTTATTATTATTATCAATATTATGTTTTAAATAACGATGTCTTATAAATATCGTTAGAATAATACAGTACAAAATTACATGGAATTCGGAATCTAAAGATTCCGAAGATTCCGAGGATTCCTAGGAGTCATTGGTTTCTTTATTCATATTTGTTCCAAAAATTACTGTAGTAGGTATATATATGTTTATAAGCTTTACGTTTATTGTAAAATACATTTTTATAACATGTATAAATTTACCAATTTTGATAATAATAGAGCTGTTTATTATTGCAAAGAAATATATGCACTAAATAATATATTATCATAGTTTATAAAAGGTTAGATACAAAAATGTTAAGTTTGTTATCCAACAAATTTGTGACAATCGTGTTACGCACTATTTGTAATTGTAATAAAATTTGAAAGGAGCTAAAATATATATACACAGATCTCTTTTGCGCCTATATTCCTCTCCAAAACCCTGTCACATCACTGCAAATCCCAGTGTCTTATTTTAACCAAAGCTGTTCTTACACACTTTTTTACCGTTTTAAATCACGTCATTTAACACGGTTGAACGTATTAATTTTTAATTTAATACGATTAAACATATTAATTTAAAACGCAATAAAACAAGCTTCAGTCAAATGTGCCATTTTTAGATATGTATGTGTGTAGAAATAACACACTTGGATTAACTTCAGTGATACTTTTACATGGTCGCAATCTTTAAAATTTGGCTACATTAATTTCATTCAAGAAGTTAATTTTTATTAAACGAATATTTCACCTAGTATAGTATAAGCAATAGACTATAATTAGATCAGAAAAAGAGAATAGAATGAATCACAGTCAACTCATTTTTAATTCAAGATTCACCTTTGAGACAATCGTTTTTAGCTGAAAGTAACTAAGACATGGACAGGCCAAGATTTTGCATTCGCGCTGCGGTTTTGTCATCGACCTCATCGTGGACGCCGTTCTGCTTGAAAGGTGCTAACAAACATATGGCACCTTCGGCTTGCACAGTCTCCGCGAGATCCGTCGCGGTTTCTCCCAGCATGTCGACGCAGCGCGAATCCGCACCGTGATCCAACAGGTACCTGACCGCTTCCACGCGATCGTGAAGAGCGGCGAAATGCAGCGGTGTGCGTCCAGAAGAGTCCTTCTGCGATAGATCGGCGCCGGCCATCAAATACGAGTGCAGACGCTTCGTGTTTCCGGCGGTTGCGGCTGAGCACATCTTCTCGCCGATCGACACAGCGTCGCCGTGAAGATGCGCTCCACACTGCAGCAGTACCCTAATAATCTGTAAGATTACGTGGAAACTTTTAATGACTCTGATCATGGAAGATCTTAGTCCACTAATTAAAATCAAATAGTGATATTTTTCGTGAAAGATTAAAAATCCCATCGAGGTCTTTTTTGACATATAAATAATATATAATAATGCCAACAATTTATTTAATACATATTTTATTGTTTCAATTGTGTCAATTGAATCTCAAATTTCTTTAGAAACATAGAAAGAAAGTATAAAAAGAAACAGAGATATATGATATAGAGCTAGAATTTGGAAGCTAATTTCCTGAGAGAGGATCTCACCTCATGACGATCATATTCGATCGCGTCAGTAAGAGGCGTGCGATCAAATCGATCCTTAATGTGAACATTTGCGCCCATTTTTAAAAGACTTCGCACGACTTTCATATCACCCTCGCAGCAAGCTATGTGCAAAGCCGTTCGGCCGTCTGCGTTCGCCAGCGAGATATCCGCGCCCTAAATAGAAAAAGCCGATTACAGTAATAAATAATTCAAAAGTAACCCTTCCGTAATACTCTGTAAATTTATATTATTTTTATGATATCAACTCAATCAACATATGTATGTTAGAGACTGTTGTTTTTCTAATATTGCTTTATTCAAACTTTTAGGGATTTTCTTCGCTAACAATAAAAAAAAAATTAATATTGCAAAAAAATATAATTTGCACGATGGAGAAGAAGGAACAACGTTTAAAAGATGTTTTAACTTTTTAATATATTCTTCCATTTGTTGAATTAATTTTGTTACTTAAAAAAAAATTTAATTAACGTCAAATGAAGCAAAAGCGATGATTACTAACATATCCTTTTAAAGACTCGAGTTTGACGACGTCGTGCCTGATCACTGCGGCGTTCAGCATAGCCGGGAACAGGATCGCTCCCAGATCCTGAAGCTCCGCCATCGAGGATAATCTCAAGGATCTAGCGACAGCCTCCACCAGATCCCAGTCCTGTATAATGGGTGGCCGACCGGCGGTCAGCTCGCCTCGTAAATTCGTTTGCATCATTTGCCGTTTAGTTTCAGTGTCCCAATTGTTTTTCGATAAAACGTACGCGAGTTTCGTTAATGCTGCCTCCGGTGTCATGTCAAAGCCCGATATCACACCTGCATATTGATAGCAATGATTGCAAGTCATAAAGTTTGTTGGAAATAGTACGTAACACTCTATCGTTATCTTGAAACATTATTTATAGTAACAGGAAAATACTTATGTTTACATAACTCTGTGTCGCGCAAGTTTTGCATAAGACTTTCCACGATTTTTATCGAATGTATAATTTTATCAAGAAAAGTTTAAGATAAAGAATTTAAATTGCTAAAATCTCGAGGAAAGTTTAGCTTCAGTATTATTTAAAACATTTGGGCGATAGATTCCTGTGTATTTAAATTATTATAATTATCTCCTGAATCAATACTTTAGATTGCATACCAGCTTTTTGGAGCAGTTTTCCAGCCTCATATGCGTCCGAGACGCATCCACTCGCGCATTGCGTGATATTCACGATGATCACACCCCGCCTCGTCGCCGCGCGAAACTCCTCGATGATGTCATCGCGATTTGTCGGGATGTTCCCCGTGCCGTAGGATTGCAGTATGACACCTTCCATAGGCGGTTGAAGAAACACCTTGACTAAGTCAGACGTGATGCTGGGAAACAATCGGAGCAGGCCTACATTTCGATTGAGCGACGCGTGTACATAGAACTTTTCCATGGTACATGGACGGAAAATCGAGCGATAATCCACTGCGAAGGAATATTAGCTTTAAAAGTCTTGTAAATCAGATTTCTCCTTCAAGAAAAAAAGTGTTAATTTGTAGAAGCTGCATTTGATAATTAAAAAAATATGCATGGTATAATCATTCCATAATATTTTAAGTATACTGCGGTTTTAAATCCTTTAAAACTCTATATAGAGAAAAATCTCAGAGATCATGCTCTTATTTTGAATCTATGTGACAACCTTCGATCTTGATGTTTGCCGTGGCGAGGGGTAGAAAGTTCGGTGACTGGAAGGCTTCGAAGGACGTCGCTGATGCCTTGCTCGTGCGATTGCCGCGCAGCAAGTTCGTACCGAAGAACACGCATACTTCGGGTATATTATAATTCGCCGCGATCACGAGAGACGCGAGAAAATTGTCCAGACCGTCACTCCTTGTGTCGAAAATCGGCACCTGCGAACCGGTCAGGATGACGATCTTGCCCAGAGCCTCGAGCATGAAGGATAGGGCGGACGCAGTGTAACTGAGGGTGTCGGTGCCGTGAAGGACCACGAATCCGTCGAAACGCTCATAAGATTCCTGCAAAGAAAAAGCTATGAGAATTACTTTACCATAATTTTCTTCAATTCATAGGTACGGCTCGTTTATGAAACTGATATATGCGCTTTGACTGCGAGTTTAATCATCCCTTTCCTCTAACTGAAGATAAAATATATTTCCTGTAACTTGAGGAATAGATTAGCTTGAATAAGATTAGATTAACTCGAACTGTTTCAGAAACATTAAGTATGAGTTGTCTGATACATCAAATACTGTTACAATAATAATCACTTCTCATTTGCCTTTCGAGTGCTTTATGCTTCGAGTACTTGAAGTACTTTATTGCTCGCAACTAAATCGAATAAATAAATCGAATTTAAATGAGAGCAAAATATTTTCTTCGAGTGTTGCTCTATTTTTATCGATATGACTTGTACTAACCTACCTTAATATCGTTAGCAATGCGAATCCACTCGTCCATAGTCATATTACTGGAATCGCAGAGTTCCGAGTATTCGAATACGCTGTAAACGACCCGACGATTGTCGGTTGCGGTCACGCTGCAAGATTAGAAGGAAAGCACTTTTAACATTGCGCAAGGGAAAGCGAAAGGGTATATACGTGGGGAACCGGTTCACATTCTTCCGCAAATTAGGTGGAAGTGCCTGTCATTTTTACGGTTCACGTTTTCCTGCGGGAAATAATCGAATTGAGGAAAAGTGACATAGGAGAAACTCCGAATTTCTAATTTCCAAGAATAGACATAGTTTAACAATTATTAAAGTTTCCTTTTGTTTGTGAAATATTAATGCTGCTTATAATTACTTATCTTTTATAATAGTTAATTGTTCTTGAAGAATTAAGAAAATCCTAGTAACGAATTATATTTTTAGGGACAATTCAAGATTTATTTAATATCTGATGATTTTTTTCTAACGAGTAAAAGTTCAGATTATAACGAAAATCTTAGTTGATAAAACGAGTTTGTAGAAATCATTGATTTTAGATAGAAATTTGTAATTGTAATATCTGCAAAAAAAAATAAATATTAAATCTTAAATACTTACGGCAATACTAGTGGTCCCATCGCGCCGAATCTTTTTTCGGCGTACTCGCGATCGTGCAATTGTGGATATTTCCGAAGATTTTTAACAAACGCATTAGTTATCGGTACCAGCGCTAGAAAGCAGACACTTTGTTACTGTCAGCAAAATGCAATAAAAATGAAGATAATTATGATGTTAGAATATTATTTTGCCATAATAATATTTGATGTTACAAATGCTTTGAAGCATTATTCTTCTCCTCCTTTTTTCACTGAAAGAAAGAAAAAGAGAAATGCTTCGAAGCATTTGTAATGTCAAGTAGACCGCAGCCTTTTTGTTATAAGAAAATGTATTCGTCATCATATTTGGAGCTTTGACCGTGTTATGTTTATGGTTTTTTTTTAATTCACGTTCAAACGTGTTTCTGTGAACAAAGATCTATATCGAACTGTGTGAGAGTTATTCGTCACATCTCATTAGCAATTCGCAAAATCCATATTAACAATTGTGATATGTAAATACAAACTTAGCGCTACTAACGATCTGTGGATGAAACGGAGGACATTACAAGTAGAAATATGAAAGAAATATGAAAAATTAAAATTGTACCCTAAATCTTTCAGGAATTCTCCATGAGACCGATCGGAGTTTTTTGGAGTCTCATAAGAAACGAACAAGAACACGTATACACGCGTGTCTAAAACTTACGGTGATTTGGGATTTTGTGTACGCAAGATTTCACATTCTTGGAAATACTCTACGTGGTAATCTCTTCAATTTCACGGAATAATTACCTCCTTGCTCATTCCTCATCATTCCTATCGTGCCACCTGTGTAAAGCACCAGAACGCGACCTTCCGGTTTGTCACTATTGGCCATGCTGCTTCTTCTGTTACTTTCCATATTTCTATCATTGTTATCGTTATCACGCACGTTGTCTCGTGACCCACAATCGCAAGGCAATCGTGACATAATTGCTCATGAATGTTCGGTTTTCACGCACGTGCAGCCGTACCGATGACTTCTACGCGACTGATTGGTTACGTAAGACGGCTTGACGGCTTGACGGCTAGTGCTAATGTCGCATAATCTTGACACCGATAACAGACGTGAGGAATCGATATACAACAGTTAGTGGGGATAAAGGTTTCTCATTCCTTAAATTTTTTTGAAAATTTATATTATTGCCTATAAATTGTCTTTCCAATTTTGTCTATGAATAAAATGTCTATATCGACTGTTAATCGACTTATTAATTGAAAGTTCCAATTTAACGATAACTAGATTTTCTTTGGAATGAAAATTTTTATCTGTTAGAAAGAAGTCAAATGTAAGGTAAACCACTTCGAATCGTTCCCAGAAATAGAAGTCCTTAATGAAAACCAGGTTTATTGAAATGACACAAAACGAGAATTTCTCAACTATGAGAGCCATAACGACAGACTGAATCTATAATTTGGAAAAAAAAAATAAACAAGTTCCTATTTTGAATGTAAAAAAATCTAATTAAAAAATGGAATAAAAGGATAATCAAATTCGTTTCATGAGCTGCGATAGAAAATTATTTACTTCACGTAGGATAGTAAGATAGATTGATCTCAATAAATACATAAAAGTCAATTCTGTAGTCGCCTTTGTAATTTTCTCCCGTTTTTTTCTCGGTTAAATGGAATAAGTGAATAACAAGGAAAAGTCACCTCGTCGCTAGTTGCCGTCTGTTAGCCCGGCTTAGTTGATGATAATTCACTGTTATATATACACTATCACGGTCATAGAACGTGCCAATCCTAAGCATTCAAAAGAATGGCAAAGAGCGATAAGTTTTCAGCTGAGACTATTTTATGATTGTGATAAAGTGTGTGTATGTGTAGAAATGTTTATCTTCCAATAAACCAGTTGCTAACAGATGACACAACAACTAGACGATAAATGACATTATGTTTCCGTTTATTTTATTAAAGTCAAGTTTAGAAAATTTAAGATAAGGAATATCTATTATTTACTTCCTTTGCTCCTAATGGAAGTTGCCATATTATAGTTAACAAAAGATATAGTATATCTATTCGATTTTTTTTTCATATAAAGTATTTCATTTAATTAAAAAAAAATTCGGTTGATTAGACTTAGTTTTATACGCGATCAAAATCTCCGAAATTTCAAACATCTGTAACTCCAAAACTAATTAACCAAATCTTAATTAATTATATATGAAATAGGGGTAGAAAAAACTGAAAAATTTAATAGAATTAGATATAAATTGCTATCTAAAATATTGAGAAAGCTATAAGATAAAATACACTTTTCTAAAAAAAAAAAAAATTCCAATAAAATCTATACCGGTCAACCGATTTTAATAAAATTTGAGGAGAACATACTTTCTATTTGTGTGAAAAATTTCAACCCGGTATCTAAAAAATTGTAGAAGTAGATGCGTGTACAAAAAATCCGTACACACACACACACACACACACACACACACACACACACACACACATACTTTCGGACATTTTTTACTAATACAATTTTTCGACATTTTAGAACATTCTAAACCTATTTTGATCAAAATCTGGAAAAAATTTTTTTTACCATCACAAAGCTTCCTCTATGAGGAAGCAAAACATGGATTTTTTTTTGTAAATTATAAATTATAAAATAAGACAAAGTGTGTACGAAGTGTGATGGAAACAATAAATTACTTTTTATTCAAAATTTTCTGAAATGTTGCATACGCGTGTAAGAGCTAGGAAACATATATCAAATTATTTTTAAGATGAACATTTACAAGAAAGAAGAGAGAAATTAACAAAGATTGCTATTGATTTTTCATCTTTTTCTTCTACTCGTGATATTTTAATAGTCTGCTTAGTTTCCTTCGACGACAGAATTATTTTATAATTGCAATGTAAAGCTGTCAAATCTAAATATAAGTAATATATAATGTTAACATGTTTGTTAAAAGATGTAATCTATACTTATCTTGATTATCTATCAATTAGTTTTCTTTATTAATTATTAAAAAAATCAGCTTTACAGAAATTTAATTTTTCGATTTCTTGATCTGAATTCGACTGAGGTGTCTCGATATCTCGCGAGTCGAGATATGATTTTAATGCGAATGCGTCAGCGTAAGTGACTAGTGGCAGAGAGAAGCCTGAGAGAGGCCATCCCGATCTTTTTCGTGGGACCGTTGAAAGCTCCTATACACTATACAGCCAGTACGTCCATTTTTGAAATTAGTATTACGTAGCCACGTTCATTTTCCGACATTGCCGATAACACATCATTTTGTCATTTTGGTACGCGTCCGTGCTACATCTGCAAAGATCTGTCCATAATAGGTCCCCTGTAGTAGTGTACCGTTATATGTATAATATACTAATACTATATAGTATCGAGGAAAAGAGAGGATTATATATACATATAAAATAAGTTAATATTTATCGATACATGTAAGATATAAATATCCTCTATAAACTGATCCTCAACCAATTACAACCGAGAATCCTTGAGAACGAATAAACCGCCATTGTAAAACTCTCGATGGTGATTGGTTGATTACGTTTCTCTCTGTGCGTGCGGCGTCCGTCGTCTTTAGCCTGGGGCCGTATTCGACAATTGTCGGTAAGCGGATTTTAGCGGAACAGAATAAGGCCCCTGGGCCCGTATTCCGTTCCTGCCCACCGACAACTGTCGGTTCGATAAGTGTCGTTGCGCAGGTTTTTCATATCGTGTAAAAGCTGCGCAACGACACCGACAATTGTCGGTAAGCGGATTTTAGCGGAACAGAATACGGCCCCTGGGGCCCGATTCTCTACGAACGTAGGCGTAAACTCTGCTCTAACAGAAAAGCTGCAAGCTTATTGGCTAAAAACTGTGCGATAGCTAATCAATGTGCAGCCTTTCTGTTAGAGCAGAGTTTGCGCATACGTTTCTCGTTAGAGAATCGGACCCCTCTGTATGCTAACAGCTGACGCGTCGACCCACGTCGATCATCGCGATGAAATCGGAGTAATTACGATGACGGTGAAGGAGAGATTGGAGGCCTATAGGCGCAAGAAGCGCAGAGAGGAGACGATGGAATCGATTAAGAGTGTAATGAGAAACATATTTTCGTGGAATCGTAATAACAGAATCGAAAAATCCGTGGAAGAATCCACAAGCGAAGAACAGGTGAGGTTACGTACTGGGTCTCCTTAATTCCCCGGCGCTTTCGCGGTTTGTCAGGGAAAACAGGCGAGAACTTTACAGAAAGTTATAAAAGACATATTTAAAGAAGTCTAAGATTTTCTTTTGTTGTTTCAAGGTTAAACTATGCGAGCAGTCAGTGGATGTCCAAGAGGAGGAAGTCCAGGAGGAGGACGCCCAGGAGGAGGATAGCGTGCAGGAATCGCGAGGCACAGTGTTGAACAGAGTAATCTATTTATTATACTTCTTGTTGTGGGCCACGCTGTACGTGATCGCGCTGGAGTACGAGTTCGGTGCTGTCTACTTCGTACTGTCGGCTCTGGTCTTCATCTGCTTGAACACCAGATCTGGACCGAAGCGACGTGGCGAACCCAGCGCCTATTCTGTCTTCAATCCGAATTGCGAGGCGATAGAGGGTACCCTCGACGCGTCGCAGTTTGAGAAAGAAATAAGATATGGTATAGCAGGGGTACGATAAAATCGACAAATTAGTAAAGTCTGAATACTGATTTGATATTAAGACGTTACTGGCATTCCGATCTATTTAATGTCATGGTTGGACCAAAGTGCCGTAGAGATGAGTGTGTAATGCAAATTTCAAATTTCTAGTAAATAGCTTCACGATTTGAAGTTAAATAACGTCACTCATATGTATATGTGACTTTTCCAAATTTGTATATATCTAAAAGCCAGTACTCTTATTTAATTTTTATTTAATTCGATATTTAATTTAAAGGAAATCTAGTGTTTCTTACATAATATATACGAGATAATCGCGAATATAAGTTTCGCAAAGTCCAGAGAGATATAAAATGTGATATCGAAAGCATATGTTAGGCATACATGTGAGAATAAGTATTATACCACGTTACTTTTGTATTTATACATTTTTATAGAGATAAATATATCTATATATATTTGTTTTACGCACTTGCAAAATTGTTATTGTCCATTGCTGGGCAATAAATGTAAGACAATATACAGCAAAGTAAATGCCAAAACGATTTTCATATGTTTTTTATAATACAGGAACGAACTATTAAGATTCTTATAAGACTCACTAATTCAACTCGTTTTGCCACTTACATTGCTTTGCATAGAAAACCAAATAAGACTGAGAAAATAACGAAAAAATATATTGTCACATCAAGAAGCATGTGTTTTGTAACAATCTGTAATCGATATATTTTCTGAAGTCTCTCATGTCCTCTCTTTTCTCGGAGTTCCTCCTTTTTATTCTATCTTTCCTGCAGAACTTTTATAGCGTCCTCGTAACATTTTGCCATTTGTTCGAGGTAGGCTAATATGGTAGGCTCGCTGATAGATTCGCGAAACGTCGCTAGATCGGTTCTGGAATGCGAATCAGTTTTGTCAGGACATAAAAGCGCCTTGTCCAGGTCTAGGAGCAGATCGTTCCATATCCTTATGCGTAGCATCCTAGAATATATATTGCTGCTGAGATATATAATCTTATAATCTGGCAATGACACGTCCCGTAATTTTATATACACCATTAAGTTTGTAAATTAATCAATGACTAATTAATTCTAAGTTTACTATACTTACTGGTTATTATCTGTCGCGTCGATTTCTGCATTGAGCTCTTTCGCGCCTGTGAGCAATACTTTCAACGTTCTCTTCAATTTCTCTGAAAACACAAAAAGATCATGATTAATACAGGCTCTTTAACATGCCTGCCGGAAATCAAAATTATAGGAAACGAAAAATACCCTTCGCGTCCCGAAACCTGCTGGTGTCGATCGACTCCAATATCCTGTTAAGGGTTTCATTAAAATATCTTGGCTCCCATTGAATAACTGTACTTTCGGACAGTCGCCACATAGTTTGACTAACCATCTGCGCCAGAGTTACGTCGTGCAGTCGGGAATTTTGATTTTGATGACTATATGCAAGATTATTATTATTCTGTATAAAAAAAGTACAGATAAATTTTTCTGATTAATATATTATGAAACGCAAATAGAAAATATTATATTTTTAATAGAAAATATTCTATTAAAGAGTCTTAATCAGATGTTTTAATAATAAAATATTTAAAATCTTAATTTAGAATCTACAGCGCAGCGCGATGTATTATACTTTATCAAATTGAAAATAAATGCGATTTACATTGATCAGATTCCGAAAGCGCGAAACCTTTGCATGAAACGAGGCTACTTACGAACGAAAATATCACTTGCGGAATATCTAGAGGAAGGCGGGGACCGAACATTTCGTGCTCGAGGTATGTCCAGTTACTATCGCCGGGGATTGTCTTGATGGCTTCAACAGCGACGGACCGCATGATGTCCGATCCGGACAAAGCCACGTGACTGTTAGCTGAAATTAGACAGTTCTATACGATGTGATAATACGGGAATAATAAAAATTCAAACAAACCTTGCGTGAAACGACCATGCACTGTGACGTAAGCCAGGACCTTTCGCCACATGAACGTAGACAGCTGCAGAGTCTGTGAGCAAACGTCCGAAGACACAAGGGATACGCAGAAGACCAAACTTCGTCGTGGTCGCCAATTGTACTCTGAAGAAATTCTGTCCAGGACTTGTGCCAATTCCAGAGCTACAGCGATACTGTCTTCATTAACGGATAAGATAACATATCTATCTGAAACAATTCGGTAGAATAAACGGACAAAATCCTGGAGTAGAAGAAGAGAAAAGAAAAGGGAGGCATTGTTTTCTCTCAAATAAAATACATACAAATGACAAAATATTCGAAAAGCTTTAAAGATTATTCCACATAATTGCACGTGAATCGCATGTCGCATGTAAGATGAATCTCGAAGATTGTGCAAAATACTTTGAGAATATATTAAGTAGAGTAGCGAGTGCAAAGAAAAAAAAACAAAATTTGTTTCAGAATCAATATAAAAATCAATATAAATATCTTCATTTCATCCGAATAAATCTAATTAAAGTGTCAATCGATTGAGGGACTCACCTGGTTCCCGCGAACCGTGGACACTTGCGCGAATGCATGATGCATGTTTAGACACTTTGTGAACGAATGACAAGTTGGAAAAGAGCCCACTAATGCGTCGCATATCTTCATCCAACGTTTGCCGATTTCTAATTGAAAATAAACATCTAATTAAAATTACTTATTAATAAAAAATTTAATTTGACAACTTGTTAATGGGAATTTTCGTAGAGACTAAGCTACTTACGGAATATTTTGATTTGTTATGTATAAATATGAGTGGATAAAATATTAAAACAACATACGTCGTGCGATCGTAGTCGAACGGCGCTCTTTCCAATTCCCGGAGTGCCAGTTGCTGAAGATACTCCGTGTTCCAAAGACCATTTCCGGCTAATTCGCCGCGCGTTTTTTGTGCTTGAGCCTCCAACGATCTCTCAACGGCGAAGCGGCCCAACAGAAAGCCGCAGAGGAGACACAGGAAACCGACCGAGAAAAGAAACGAGAAACACAACCGCTTTGTCACGTATTCGCTGGACTCGCCAATATTGCGTGACATTTGAAAGCTGAGGACCCGATGCATCCTCGCAGGGTGTTTCTCGTAGAAATCTTTTCAAATGTGTTATTGGCAGCCTCTTCCTATATCATCCTAAAGACACGATAAATCGTGTCGTGCCTGTCAGATTAAATCCTTCTTCTTATACAACCGCATACTAGCTTTTCAGAAGATATTGGAAATATTTATGACCTAGATTTTTCTTATGCAAACCGATCGAACATTTCACGAATGTGTGATTCACGAAACTGAAATCACTTATTAAATCAACGTTATTAAATCAATGAAATCTTGTAATATGATGTGCAAGATATTTCCGTGTATTATTTACGCGAAAGAGTTCTAATTATACGATGAATTATACGCGAAAATAATCCACTTCCGCTAACTGAATTGACCAATGCAATATTCACATCCTGATAACATTACAAACATTCGATAACATTATCAAATTAGCGATAAATCTTCGATGATTTCGTGCGAGGACGCGACACGTCCACTTGGACCACTTCTGTCTTCACGCAGGCTAAGTTTTGATCGTGAAGACGATAGAGCTGACCGTTTTCCGCTGTCTCCGTCGTCGCCAAATTGCGTGGGATCCCGAAGATATATTTTACAGTCCGCCTCTTTTCGTCGTCTCGTTTATTTTATTCTTGCGTGAAGAGCGTGCGCGCGCGGCGTTCTCATCTCTGCTTCTTTGCATGAGAGAAAATAGGGAAGTGAGAGAAAAGAAAACATATAAACAATATAACGGCGAGAGTTTATTCTCTGATCGAGTTCGCGCTTGACTTTTATTTAGATAATAAAAGTTTTAGAAATTTATTCAATTATATGTTATTCGCCATTAAGGCTGAAATATGTTTAAATGACGGTAATAAACAGAGCAAACGCAGCTAATTTTTTAAGTACTTCGGCGAGAAATTTTAAATGGAGGGTAAGCCGAAATCGGATTATCGAGGAAAAAGACAGGATTACAGTTATCAAAGATTCTTAAAAAATTTCGTATATTTCTAAATTTGAGACAAGCGTTTGGGGACCATTCGACAAGATTATAAATCCACTTAGAAAATACTAATTTAGATACACTAAAACACGTTTTTTCTAGACACCGCGTACGCAAACGTCAGAAGCGTGAACGACGCATGTTGGGTAACTTATTTCGAGTAATAATACTATGGCGGTGTTTCATTTATAAATAGTTTTCGATGTATTACGTGCGCGTGCAAGGTTGTTCCAACTATAGCGTCTTCTGTGCAGACTTTTGAAATATGTATATACTGATTTTTCACGCGTGTTAGTGATATGTCTATTATATTGAAATTTCGTTATTTGTTCAATCTTAAATGAACAGACAGAACTACAGATATTTCGATTATTAACTATTATTATTATATATTATTAATTTGAACTGTAACAAGTCTCAGTTGATTAAGTATTCCCGAAATAGAATACAAATGTTTTAAATGTTTAATTAGGGAGGTAAGATGATAATATTCTCAAAGATATTTAAAATCTATTTGATCTTAAAAGAAATTAACCTCAGACCTTTTTTAAAAATTTTTACGTATATATAAATGTCCGTTTGTTTTTAAATTTAACATATCAAGTATTACGATCTAATAGTAGTCAAGAATGAAGATAAACGTTATATTTTAAAGTATCACAAATTAAGCAATTAATTTATGCTAAGTCATTACAAGTCAAGAGATAGTTTAATATCTATAAAATATATATATATTTTTTAAATCAATATATTTTATGATATATTCTCTGTAAAAAGTCAGTCTTAATATGTATCGCAACCCGAGAAGAATACTGTCATAACTAAAAAATTCGCGATTTTTAGGAGAGAGGGAAAACTAATTTAATTCAATTTTTTTGAATTGTGAGAGTTAGTTATAACTTATAACGCAATTACAATTATGCTATCTTGTTATAATGAAACTTATATTGTTTCTTGAAGCGATTTGCTGTGATTTATTTGTCAATTCGCTTATGACACTATTTACCCAGGAAATTGCATCATAACCGATTTACTAATAATGACACTTCAGCTTTCCGTCCTACAGCGGATTTCGCATATAGACTTGTGACACTATTATACTTTTCATACAGGCTTAACTCAAAATCGAAATTTTTTGTGATGTGACAGTATTCTTCTCAGGATGTAATATGTCTGCGAATACATTTCTAAATGTAATTGACATAAAAGGGAGAAATTAGTATAAATGCTCTCGTGTATTTATGCCTTCTAACTATGTTTTTCTTATCCTGTGAAACGTCGGAAAAATGATAATCTTCGCTGGAATGGTACGTTCCGATGCAATGCAGCATGGTGTTCCCTTAAATCTGCTAGTGTAACAAACGTATCGTTGCATATCTCGCACTCGAACGGTTCTGTGTGCAAACGCAGATTCTTTAGACAGTACGTTCGATCCGTAAAAATTGTTTGCGTGGACAAATATATCTTTTCTTACCGTGAGTTTTCCAATGCAGAAGCAAACTCGAATAATCGCTATACGCTTTATAGCAATAGGAACAAAATACCATGGCGTTGTGACGTGCATAAATGTGTTCCTGGAATGTTCGCCAAGTCTCGCAGATTAAATTACAATGATTGCACGTGTAAGTTGCCTCAGCATGGTATCTTTGCATGTGCTCGTCCAAACGCATCTTTGTCTTAAAATGAATGTTACATTTGCTGCAAATGTTCCGGCTCCGAATCATAAGGATAGAACGCAGAAGTCTGGAATATGTTCTGCTCTCTCTATTTCTTGTTAAAATGGCACCCATAACAGACGGTTTTGGTGCAAATTCCTTTTATAAAAAAATAACGTCGCTGGTGAAAGGTAGATTTGTCTAAAATTTCTTGGCTTCTTATTTCTCGATCCTTTTTACGACAGGCTATTTCTATTCTTTCCGACTTTCTTGGGTGATAGGGCGTTCGTGTACGTGACAGGTACGTGTTAGAATCTCAGGTAATATTTAATTTTGCGATTCAAATTGCAAAATGACGAAATCGCACACCGATAAGCACAATATTACAGCGCGTGTAATTGATGGACTCGAAGAACTTTGTGATATTGAATTTGACCGGCACAGAATGTGTACGATTTTCTTCTTGTACCTTTAAACATATTCTTTGTATATTGAAACATTAGGGATAGAAGGACAACAAGTCCTGTTTATGTGTATATCAACTTTGCATTGCTTCTTCAAATGTCGTTGGTGAATATAAACTCAGCAAATTTGCGATCGCTGATCGATATGTGTGTGCGTATGTGATTGCGTAAATCACGCAACGTTTTAATTGATTAAATATTATCGAAATAAAGCACTAACATTTTAAATATTGAATTAGGGATAAGAAGATGAAAATATTGTGAAAAATATTTAAAATTTATTTATCCTTTAAAAAAATTAATTTCCAAATTTTCATTCTCAAAGTAATGTGTAGTCAGTTTTTATTTACAATTTTTTTTAATATTTATATATAAATAATATTATATACTAAAACGTATATAACGCATAATATATATATTACATCATAATTTATATATAATATATAATATATAATATTTATAATAAATTTATAATAAATATTATATACGTAATACATTTAATAATATCGATGACATGATTAATAAATAATATTTTTATATTTTTATATAAAAGTTTATATTTTAAATTTAACATATCAACTGCCATAAGTTTGATATATAGTCAAGAGTATGATATATAGTAGTAAAAATATATAGTAGTCAAGAGTAAAAATCTACGTTATATTTTAAAGCAGCACGAGTCATGTTATTAATTTAACACAGAAACGAATCCATTATAAACGCTCCTTTCGTATATTATTTATTCCCTGTAATTTTATTCTTCTCTTTCCACTGAAACTGGACGAAACGGTAAATCGAATGGTAACTCGCGATGCAACGAGATGTGATGATCCCTCAAATCTGATAATGTCTTGAACGTGTCGTAGCATACGTCGCACTCAAATGGTTCTGTGTGTAAACAGTAAACGCAGATTCATTAATATACAGTACATTTATTCCGAAAAAACTCTTCACCAGAGTACGGATAAAGATATATTTTCTTACCGTGCATTCTCCAATGTAGTCTCAATCTCCAATAATTAGTATGCACTTTATAGCAATAAGGACAGAATACCATGTGCCTATGAACTAACCAATGCTCTCGGAAACTTGACCAAGTATCGTAGATTACTTTACAGCAATCACACGTGTAAGTCATTCCGATATGGTCTTGCATGTGCTCGTTCAAACACACCTCTGTGACAAACTGGAGATTACATATACCGCAGATATTCCGGGATCGAATTGTATGGATAAAGTGCAGAAGCTTCTGGGACGCTCTGCTCTCCTGATCTACCAGCGTTGTTGTGTCCATGAATGATAATACTCAATCCAGATTTCTTTTGGAAACAGAACGTCGCATTCGTAATAGGCGAATGCTGATTTTACCGTAGATTTTTTCCTAGTCTGATCTTTTGCTTTTCCGATTTCTTTCCGAGTCCTATTTCCGTCCTTTCCGACTCTGATTCCGTGAGCGAGCGTTCGTATATGTGATATATATATACTAGATAGAAGCTCGGGCCGTATATAATGGTCAATTTTACAGTTTAATTTGGAAAATAAATTACAAAAAAATTTCAAAAGGAAGCCCAAGCGCGTGCGGTCGACAAACTCAAGGAACTCTGCAATAAACTTGAACGGTCGAAACGTGTATAAATTTTTTCTTGTATCTTTTTCATAAACACATCTAGAAATAAACAAATCCTGTTTATATATAGATATACGTATATACGAGCAAACTTTGTATTGCTTTTATAGATATCATATCTGGATAAATTTAATTAGATGGTAGATTTAATTAATTTGATTATATATATATATTTGTGCAAATTATCCAGCCCTTGTTGCGAAAATAATTCGTGACAAAAGGGAAGGATTTATTCAGTGTCTGATGCTTTCTCTTGAAACTGCGATCGCGCGTGTTGCAACGGCAGTGTTTTATTTGTAAATAGTTATCGTGATCCGTACAATATTGTTTTAATTATAACACTTGCAAACTTTTAGCACAAATCATCGAAAACCCGAGTCGAAATTTAAGACTTGAAATAATTCTCGCAAATATTTATTTATGCTTTAATATTTTATAATTTTTATCTGTTATTCGTATAAATTTGTATAACAAAATAGTGTCACATAAAAAAATCGATTCGCGAAATATTATCGCGATATTATTATGAATAATTAGTTAATTAATTGAGTATAGACTTGGCTAAGCTAATTGTCCATTCAAACTGACCGTGTTCCAGAAGTAACATGTTCATCTACGCGATATTCTAAGCATGTTAATAGGTTCCACCTGTGTGTATGCTTGGATCTTACGCGTTCTAACATTATTTGCGATTAAATCTCGCTGTATTAAAGCACGACTATGCACGGATTTTTCACGTATCGACTTCGAGACTGGTTTCAACAAATATTTATCTATTAAAAGTTGTTATTAATTTGTTTATGAACTACAGAAAAGTATTAATAGTTTAAATATTGTTTAGAACATTTGCCTGAAATATATCTAATATTTAAATTAATATAGTGGTAATGCGAAGGATACTATCCTTCAATAAAAACAACTTCAAATTTTTATTCAATTTTTATAGAAATAACTTTTACATTCAGATCTGTTTTTTATTTTGTTTAAAAGTTAATGTATTATAAAATAAAAATTAAAATACTTATAACTATTTTGCTTAATAGTAATCGAGACATACACTGCAGTTTGAAAAATTATATATATCATGCGTTTGATCTTTTCTATACAAAATAATTGCAAAATAAAACTTGGCATTGGTGTAAATAAATCAATACATTTAATTTTTTTCGTAATATCTCCTAAAATGCTACTTTTAGATAGAATTAATACTTTATTGTTGGTATATGTCCAATAATTTACTATCGTTCCTGGTTAATTTACAATCACGTTCCTGATAAAAGAACATTGCCGATACTCGTAACATTCGCTCTCTTAAAAAAAATATTGTCATTAATTAAATTATATTATATTACTGCTGGAGTGCAGATTTAAAAAGACTCAACAAGAATACTTCATTTTTATACATACATATTATATTTGTATTCTCTGTTATTCATGATACAATCAAGATGTAATTCTATATGACAAATCGAAAAGAGTAAAATAAAAGATTTTTATGTCTCTTATTTTTAAGAAATTTAATTTTAAAATTCAAGGTTTTAATTTTTAAACTACTAAATTTTATATTAAATATTAATCATTATAATATGTATGTATTTAATAGTTATTACCAATTAAAAATCAAAAGATTATTGATAAGAAATTGATTAATTAATTACATAGAATAATTCATTAATACATAATTGTATATTATTATCAAAGCCTATTTGAGCAGCCAAACAGCATACAAACTTGTATATTGAACACCAAAAATATTCATTAATCTTTTGTCTTTTATGCGTAATTTGCACGTGTCACTCTAGCAGAGAAAAATCTTTATCCTTTTGTTACGTTCTGTTTTGTAATTTATTTATTTAATCCCGCGTTAACGTCATTAATTTAAGAGATATATTTATGCGCTATAAACATTTAATCGATTTATCGTTAGAATAAGTGTTATTTCTAACGATAAATCGACAAAAAAGTAAAAATTCTTCGGAGTCTTTATATTGGATGTCCGGATAAAATTCATTTTATTCATGCGATTTCCCATAAGAGAGTATATTGTATGTTCTTCGAGAATAACTATATTGGTGGTTGTCCATTAGTGAATCTGGTTCTGCAACCTGCGAAAATAGAAAATAACACGTTTATTATCAAACATTCCTTTGTTATACGCATTCTCACTACTGTGTAATACATTTCCTTTACTTAATTTCTGGATATAAAATGCAATTGGTCAATGAACATTAATAATATATTCGCACATCTTTTAATAATACTGATATAAAGAATATCGGAAAGAATACTTTCTGTGAGATTGTCCTTACTTGTTTGCTGCTCCTTGATTTCTTATATCTGTAGAACAATGACTTGGTGACCAATCGCATTCCTTTTCTGAATGTTTATCGATCAAATGCTGCCGCATCAACCATTTTGTACTGAACTTCTTCCCACATATTTTGCATCTCATTAGCTTCTCGTGTATGCTCATATGAACACTTAAATCTTTCCATCTGTAGAAACATTTGTGACAGTATGGACACATATATTGTTTACTGAGCGTCTTCAAACGTCTAAAATTTTCGTAAGGTGTACTGCAAAATGAACAGCGACAATATTGTAACTTGTGCTTCACTTGAATATGATTTTTAAGCGATTTCTCGTCGGCGAAGATCCTCGAGCAATGACAGAATTTGAGAGCTGTGACTTCTGCATGATTCGCGAAAACATGATCGTCCAATTGAATCGGGTTGGAGACTCGTAGATCACAGCCGTATGATTTTAATTCGTATTGCAGTTTCTCGATAGAATGGATGCAGCCTTGATACATTGAGATCTTAGCGGCGCGGCGTCTCTTTGATGTTTCAATTCGAGTTAAAGGCACGCGTCTCTAATATGCAAACGTATATGGTTTTGAATTTCTCGGCAATTCGATAGAGGGTTTGGCAATTGACTTTCCTTTTTCCTTTTCTTCACTCGTCGAACTTCTGTTCGATCTTTGGCATTTTTCGATACTCCGTGGATAAAGGTTCATATATAGAGACACGTGTTATCCATCGAAGCTGTTACGAGTGCGCTTTTTAAAACTCTTTTATGATTGACTTTTAATTAACGAGATATTTCACAATTACACACAGTATCGTTGCTGCGCGTGTAATCGACGTACTAATCGAAAATATCGCCTACGGTATCCAGTTTAACGATCGGCAAACGTTAATTCTATACCTCGTCCGGACACATTCAAAAACAAACCAGGAATTTCTGTATTATGTTTATACATCTATAGCATTGTTGAAATTTTTGCAGTATATCTCTCCTGTTATTTGATAAAAATAATATTTAAATTATTTCTTTTTACTTCGTTGTTTCTATAATGCCATAAATTTTAGAATAGTTTTTTTACGCCATTTCATAGCATGGTTTTTCCTTGTGTCTCAAAATGAGATGAATTTGATGAAAATGAGTCGAATTTATTCATACATATATCTAAGTTCGAGCGAAGGCCGAGCGTTCGCGAGAAAGCGTATTTTGTCCGCGTGCGGTTAAATAATTAGCGTGGTGGCATCTTGATAGACTATAGAGGCACATGCGGCCCCACAAGTTATATAAAAAGTCTAAATAAAACGCAATTCTTTTTTAATATTTTATTAAGAAGTAGACATGATGGTAATGTAAAAAAATGTTTGAAGTGTACTGGTTCTTAATAAAAATTAACCATAAACTTCTGTTCTTTGATCACTTTTCATTTACAAAGTTTTATATAGTACCTATCTTTTTTTTATTTTATATGTAATATACACACTCATCTATTACGACTTATTTAATAGTAATTACGAAGAAAGATCTATTTTAAAATATCACAATAAGTCATGGAATTGATTTATTCTACAATCATATGCATAATACATAAAGTGTAATGTAAAACTTAGCATCAGTATAAATAATATTCTATTTCAGAATATTTTCTAAAACATTAGTTTTTAATGAAATTAATAAAATACAGTTGTCATATGTCCAAAAGTCTCGCGTTTATTTACGATAAAAATATATTTTCGACTTACTGACAGTATGTGTGAAATTTCAAAATATCCTCATGTATTACATTCTTGCATCGCGTTATATTATTAGCGCATGTTTAGAAATAATATATAAGAAACCTATTCACATATGCTACATTATATTACATCCTCCGTTATTTATAGAATACAAAGAGAAAAAGGATAATTCTACGTGAAGAAAAATATGCTGAAAAGTTATTCATATACGAATGCTTTTTCTAAATATTAGATTTAAAAATTCAGGATATTAAAGATTAATTTATATAATTATTATTTATAAAAAAGAAAAAATAATTATTTGTCAATGAATCAGAATTATTAATTTCTAATTACAATTAGAATTTATGACTGATTAATAATTACAAGTATTAATTATTTATATAATTATTATTATGGCATATTATTATTGAAAAATAAATTTAAAACAGAATAATACTTATTTTTCCAAAGTAAAGCTTTATATAAAAAAAGATTCTACTTTATATAATGTAATTCTATTATATATTTTTCCATTTAGAATTATTATCTTTCTAATTGTAACATCAATAACAGACTACCCTGTAAGTATCTCAAATATGTTTGCGCGAATATCATTGGAATTATCATTTTTTTCGAACAGTTTAAGTTCTTTAATATTAGGAACATTTGTATTATCCGATTTGTATTAGGTATCCATTTTTTATTTACTCCAACTCAGCTCGACAAGACTAATCGGACTCAATTTGATTTGAACTTCTACACGTTCCTACACTGAGAAAAAAAATTGGTTGTATGGACTAAACTTGTATAATTGTTGATTGATTAATGATTGATTCAACAATTATTAAGTTGCACTAAAAAAGGTATAGCTCATTCATGTCAACCATCAAAATATTTTAATCAAGAATTAGTTAATTCAACTAATGTTTAGTTTAACCAATTAATTTTTGTTTAGTTGAACATATCGGACTAAATATTTTAGTTGGATGAAACACATTTTGTGTTTTTCAACCAATTTTTTTCTCAGTGTAACTTTAAGCGTTCGTGACTTTTGAGATAACGTTTCTGGCCGAAACTGACGCCGCATTGATTACACTTGTACGGCTTTTCCTCGGAATGAACACGTTTGTGCCTGGTCAGGTCGTTCTTCACGCCGAAACCCTTGCCACATATGTCGCACATATGATTTTTCTCACCCGTATGTACTGTCAGGTGACCCAGCATCTGCTGTCTCCAGCGAAACCTTTTGGCGCAATAGGTACATTGGTATGGAAATTCATCCGTATGGATCTTGCTGTGTATGTAGAGAGATGCCTTGGTTTTGAACGTCTTGCCACAAGTGTGACACACGTATGGGCGTTCACCGGTATGGATACGTCGATGATCCTCCATGGCGGTCTTCATGGCGAAGCTGCGGCCGCATATATCGCAGGTGTGATTCTTCACGCCATCGTGCACGTGTTTCAGGTGATAATATAGACTACCGCTCTGAACGAATTGTTTTCCGCATATGTGGCACGTGTACGATTTCTCGTCCGAGTGCGTGCGTACGTGGGCCCAGTAGCTTTTCCGCGAGCGAAATTTCTTGTTACAAAATTTGCAGACCATCGCCGGGCTGGTGGGGGCAGCCTTTTTGGCTTTGGACTGTTTGACGCTCTTCTCCAAATATTCATTAGACTCGTTCACTTCCGCTGCGTGTTCTTGCTGTGTATATAATGTAGCTTTCGTCTTTTTCGTGTAACTTCTTGCTCGCGTCTGACTAGCAAGAGTAGTACCTTTGTCTTCTGTACTTTTCTTCTTCGTGTCATTTGGCAATTCATTTGAAGAGGATATTTGACGAGATATACTTGTAGGAGACAAATGTTCGGTTAATTTATTGTTATCGATATTATCTGCGGAAGAAAAAGTACTCTCCGAATTTCCATCGATTATATTGGACGTTTTAGTTTGAATTGGATTATTTTCATTTCTATATTCTACCATTTTATATGCTTGCCGAGAACTGTGGGCGATTAGCCGATCGGGGATGACGATCTGATTCTTCAATCTGTAAAAATAAAAAGTAACCATTTGTTATTAAATTTGTTATTAAATTTATATTTCTGTTATCACATTATATATTTTCTATATATCGTATACTGTGCACAGGATATTTAAAAAACGTATATTTTAGTAAATTAGTCTGTTATATACGTATACATATTTACATTATAAAATCTTGAAGTTTGCAAGAAAATTTCGTCTCTAAACAATATGAGTGAAATTGAAAATTTTCGATCTTTTTAAAGTTTAACATATGCACTTGTTAGTTCTCTCTAATAATTGTAAGATTAATTTCATGAAATTTACTTACAATTTCCTTTGCTCAGTTCTGCTGGTGTTATTTGCCGAACTCGAGAAATGTCAGATATTAAAGATCTCTCTTTTTATCCAAGGTTTCAGAATCGCACTACTGTTTTTTAGTTATTCCATGTACTCTCTCTTTAGTGTCATTTAATCAACCTTTACTTGTTTATTTGTTTTCTTGGTTTCTACTATATTCTTGTTAAAATTTAAAATTACTTTATTTTAATTTCAAAGGAAGTATTAATAATTTTTACGTAATTTTCCTTAATGCATGAGATTCCCTTCCATTCGATACGGATACAGAAAATAGAAATAAATCAGTGCTAACGATTTTTCCGTAAAATTAAGGGATATTTAGTTCTTCTTATTTTGTTTTTCATCTAATTCTAAATAGATGGAAACCGAGAGCATGGTTTTTGAGAATGTTTGTGGATGTCATCTTAAGTCGAGTCTCAACAATTATTTCTTATCAAACTTTATTTCTCAAATTTTGCACAAAACGGTTTTACGTATATATGCAATGACAATATAAGATCTTCCATTCACAGTAGTATTTCTCATCATCATTCTTTCTCACGCAATGTTTTAACCAGTCGTAAGCCTTTGAACAATAAATTCAAATTCATGTGTTTCTTTGGTTTTAGGAACATATTTACAATAGTCTCTCCACATGGATACATGCTCTTGTATGATTTGCAAAAATTGATTCTATCATGGATTTCTTCTTTCTGATTTTGTCTTCATCATTTTTGTCATCTTCTGTATTTATGATTTAATTCGATCGAATATTTCCAATTCTCGCGGATCGCATAGATTTGTTCGAACATACTAGTCGAATTTAGTGGCATCGAGTTTAACGATCGGCAAACGTTTCATGACTACATTCGTCCGGACACATCCAGATACAAACAAATTCGATGTTTCATCTTTACGTGCATACAGCTGTGTGTAAACTGCCACAGTGTCTCTTCAGATATCGCTCCTGAGCGAATCTGGCGCCGCAAATCGCGCAAATGTGCAAGCGCTGATTGGTATGAGTGCGCCGATGACGGGTGACGCAACCTTTGCTGCGGAAACGCTCGTCGCAAATATCGCAGGCGTACGGCTTTCGATCGGAGTGCCAGGATGCATGTTTATCCAATTCCTGCTTCCTCCTGAAACCGCGGTCGCATAGAACACAACGATGCGGCAGGACCTGCGAATGGTAGAGTCGGTGCACGTGCAGGGACGCCTTCTGCTTGAAGGACTTGCCGCAGGTCTCGCACACGTGGGGTCTCTCGCCGGAGTGAGTGCGTCTGTGCTCGTCCCTCGACGCTCTCGAGGCGAGATGACGCCCGCAAACGTCGCAGGCGAAATTTTTAACACCGTCGTGGACGTACCGCACATGCCTGTTCAAACCAGACGTCGATCGAAAGCTCTTGTCGCAAATGGAACAGATGTAGGGTCGCACGCCGGCATGAATGTTGCGATGAATTAGCAGATTGTACGACGTGGAAAGGACCTTCCCGCACTCCTCACACTTGTAAGGGGTGCATTTCTTCTCCACCATCGTCCTCGAGCAAGTTAATTCGGCACGTTGTTCCGATAATCTTTTCGATCGTTCCGTACATCCTTGAGAGTTCATCATAGATTTTTCTTGAGACTTCTGCGTTTGCTCAAAGTTGGGATGAGAATCTGCCGAATGGTCTCTTTCTAACTTCTCTTCAAAATCGCCAAGATGCGTTGATGCAAGACATTTCTCGCTGGATACCGTTGATCGAGTTTTCTCGACATTAATGTGTCCTTCCATATCGGACTGCTCATTCCTTGGCGAGCTGACTCGTGCACGTCTCTCCGATTCGTCTTTCGACATTCGACGCGTCCATCTGAAAAGAGAGTCAGCCCGTTACTTGGGGGACGGCCGAATTGCGTGGCGGCTCGTGGTTGAGTTTCTTATGATTAACTAAGTAGCGCTTCTGGCGGAACGAGAGGCTGCATTCGGTGCAGCGCCAAGGTTTCTCGTCGGAATGGATCAGTCGGTGTCGCTTCAGCTCGTATTTGATACGAAAGCGACGGCCGCACACGTCGCACGCGTGCGGCTTCTCGCCGGTGTGCTTGGTGATGTGCAACATCAGCGGCGGCCGCGTGCGGAAGGTCTGGCCGCAGTAGCTGCACTTGAACGGGAACACGTCCGTGTGCGTGCGATTGTGCACGAAGAGGGAGGCCTTTTGCTTGAACGTTTTTCCGCAGACGTTGCAGACGTACGGCCGCTCGCCCGTGTGGATGCGCCTGTGGTCCTCAACGTTGCGCCGCGTTGAGAACATACGGCCGCACAGATCGCATGGCACGTTCTTGATGCCGGCGTGGGTCTCCTTCAGGTGCCGTGCCAAACCTTGATTCACGCGGAATCGCTTGCCACAGAGGTGGCAAGTAAACAGCCGTTCGCCCGTGTGGATGCGCAGGTGCCAGTAGAAGGTGTACGGCGAATTTAAGTTTTTGCCGCACTCGTTGCAATGGTAGTACACTTTACCGTCATGTTCCATTCGGGCACGCATCACTGTCTCCGTGGCTACGAAGGACTTCCGATTCCTCTTCGCGACCTCGGGATGTGCCTCCACCAGATGGGCTTTTAACAGTTTCCTCTTCTCCGCAATGTGTTCACAATAGCCGCATGGATAAGTTCTGGATCGTTTTCCCAATAATTTTACTGATGAAAGGTAAGGTTCTTCGTTGTCGCTTGCGCTCTTAATATTTTCCATCAACCGGTTCTTTTCTTTTCTCATACTGTCATCTATCTTCTTTTTCTTTTCTGTTACCTTAGTACGTGTTCTTGACAAATATTCTTCGTTGGCTGAATCGTGATGTTTACAGCCTGTCATATGGCGTATTAGATGGTGCTTTCTTTTGAAAACACGTCGGCAGTTATCGCAAGTATAGTTCTTTACAGAGTTACTCGTTGACTGTAGAACTGTCAATTTATTTTTTTCTTGATATCTTGAGACGTTCGAGTCTATTTTTTCGTCGCATTTTACTGCGTTGCAGTTATTCGACGAATCACGTGTCTCTCTTTCTAAAATTTCTTTAACGTTTTCTGCAATCAGCGTCGTGCTTCTCGTTGGAATGCTTTCGTACTTCATCGTGGCGTTATTCGTCCACAGTGCAGCACTATACGAGGAGCGGTATGTCGCGAAAGATCTCTCCTCTGTCAGCTCGCACCTGGAAAAACAACAAAGGCGGCAGGTTTGAGTCGGTTTCGTCGCTGGCGGTAGGTCGATGACGAAGGACCGTATCTATACAGAGAAGAAGAGAGACAGAGAAGGGGAGGACGATTTGCGCGTTCGGCGTACATTTCTACCGTTAATAATGCCCCTTATCGTTAGGACGCTCGCAGAGATTCCTTGTGCCGGCTCTTGAGATGATTGTTCAGGTAGCGCTTCTGCCGGAAAGCGAGACCGCACTTGACGCAGACGAACGGCTTGTTCTCAGAATGGATGAGCTTGTGCCGCGCCAATTCAGACTTGACCCGAAACTTCCTCTCGCACACGTCGCACCCGTGATTCTTCTCGCCGGTGTGCGTGGTCACGTGTGCCAGCACCTCCTGTCGCCGGCGAAACCGCTTGTTGCAATACGAGCACGCGTGCGGAAACACGTCGGTGTGCAGCTTGCTGTGGATATACAGGGACGCCTTGGACTTGAAGGTCTTCCCGCACGAGTCGCAGACGTACGGCCGTTCGCCGGTGTGGGTGCGCCGGTGATCCTCCCGCGTCGCCTTGGATGCGAACGATCTCTTGCACAGGTCGCACGTGAAGTTCTTCAGCTTCGCGTGCACGTCCTTGAGATGCCTGGTCAGCCCGCCGGAGTCGCGGAACTGTTTGCCGCACACGTGGCAGGTAAACGGCCGCTCGTTCTTGTGGATCCTCATGTGTCGCAAATACGAGTCCTTTAGCTTGAAACATCTACCGCACTCGGCGCATCGGAACGTCTCCTCTCTGTGCAACGCGTTTCCAGGGATCTCGCACAGTTCTTTACTGTCCTTTTCATCGTCAAGTACCAAATGTGTCGAATTGTCATTCAAGGTCTGATCTCTCTCGCTTTTCTTCTCCTCGCATGCGACAGTGATCGTCCGAAGCTCGTCGCTATCCTCGTCGCAGTCGGAATTTTTTACAGAGCGTTGCGTCGCGACATACTCTGCCTTGTGGATCCTCATGTGTCGCAATAACGAGTCCTTTAGCTTGAAACATCTACCGCACTCGGCGCATCGTTCAGTTCTCGGCACTCGGCACAGTTCTTTACTGTCCTCATCGCTATCGGAATACAGCGGCGCGACATACTCTTCCTTCGGTTCGACGGACTGATCGTTACTCTCCAGCTGCTCAGACACGGTAGACGGGTGATCGTGCATCGTGTCCATGACGGCGATCCAGCCCGAGTCGGAGTCCTCGGTCGTCGCGCTCGGTTTTGTCAGGTTGCGCATTCTCGACTGGCATTGTTTCCTGTATGGCTTCCAAAATGCTTTCGGCGTGTCCGGGGACACTCTAAACGGTATCCGGACGCCGCACGACCTGCAAAATAGCCGAAACTTGACTCCAGGTTTCGTGATTGCGTGGCACGACGCAGCGGACGATTGCGATTTCGAGTTTCGGTTATCACAGCCGCTCAGTTTTCTAGGTAATCGTTAAAGTCAACCATCCCGGGGCTGTTCCGGCGCATTCCCTTTCGCTTTGCTCGAAATCTTTCGTTAAGCTGTCGCAAAAATTTTCTTGGCGTACCCAACGTCAGTAAATCGTTCTTTTTTTTAATGGCTTAGCGAGAGTTTCACATTTCGTTACGACGCGTGTCACGATTGCTCGTGTGTATTCAATGTCGAACAGTTTCCATTTTTTCGTGAGATACACGGGAAATGTTTAACAAGTTCTACATGTGGCACTTATTCTATTTTCATTATATTCTAATATTCTATTATCTACATGCTAGAAATACGGCGATCATGAGCAGACGGATCGTATAAACGGAGAACAGGTAGCAAGAGAGACAAAGACAGAGAACTGTGCTTCTTGTATAATTAACAAATTATGAAAATACGAAATCATTACCTGTTGGATTTATTAATTTTTTCTGAATCACACGCTTCGTTTTTGTCATCGTCCTGTTGATTTGGCTGCAATAAGGAGTTTCAATTACTTAATGTAAAAGGATTATTTCTTATAGTTTTATCGTACTTACCAGTGGGTTTGTAATATTAGATTCAATGGTCGTGCTGGCTGTGGTAAGCATCGGCGTAGTAACTTCTAAATTATCCAAAGAAGAAGGGTTGTAATACTGCAAAACATTTGTAAAGAATATATAATTAGAATATTGTGTACTTACAGAGAGAGAGATGCATGAGGAGACAAAGGATTGTAAAAAGAAACGCGAGTATGAGAGAGGATGCAGCAGAATGGAATAAGACAAAGCGCGTCCAGAGAAACACATTTTCTAGGATATAAAATTAGTCAGGATTAATGGATTAAAGAAGCTTGATAGATACGATGCGACAACAAAGAGAGGGACTTGAGAGTTAAATACTTAAACTCTGAAAAGGTAAATATGGTAATATAATTCCTCTTTATCTTATACATGCTCTTATAAAAAAATACACTCAACCCATAGAAAAACCCTTAAGCGTCGTCTACAGCAGGAGTATACAGTAAGACGTAAGCAGTAAGTTATTGACTAATGAAATTTTTACAATTCAAGAATAATTGACTGTGGTTGGTCAATAGCTTACTGCTTACATCTCACTGCATACTCCTGCTGCCATTGTAGACGACGCTTTAAAGTTGGGTGTGATTTCGGACCGCCAATAGGTTAAACCTATTGTTAAACCTATTGGCAGTCCGAAATCACACCCAACTTTAAGGGTTTTTCTATGGATTGAGTGTATTTTTCCATAAGGGTGTTATTATGTTTTATTTGAGATCTCAGAATGCAATAGGAACATAGCTGACTCGCTAATTAGCTTTGTAATATTATGGCTCGTCTACAATAGCCGCAACAGTATGCAGTAAGACGACGTAAGCAGTAAGCTGTTGACTAATGGAATTTTTACAATTCAAGAATAATAATCGACTGTGGTTGGTCAATAGCTTACTGCTCACGTCTTACTGCATACTTTTACGGCTATTGTAGACAAACAGACATTCCTTAACCTTATGCATTTGTTTACCTGCTGCTTATTTCGCAGTTGCGTATCCTGCATTTGCAGCAGCTTTATCTCCGCGCTTAGACATCCCTCGCGCAACTCGTGCCAGGCTATCAGGATGTTGGCGCAATTCTCGCACAGTTGCAACGGCAGAGTGTCGCTTTCGGATACCTGTAAAAAGCAATCAGTAGATGACCAACGCGTCGTTCACCGAGGTACTTGAACTGAAATTTCGGCGTTTACTGTACACACGTGTATCGGCAAGTACTTGATTATTTTGCTGGACAAGTCATGCTCCGCTCCGTCGCCCTCGAAGATGGGTATCATGTGATTGCTCGCGTTAGCGCATATCCTGCAGAGGTGCATCCACGCTAACGTTACCTCTGTTGCAGATACCGTTCCATCGGGATACTGCACTGACTGGTCCTGCGACATCAAGAAGAAATCCTCGTCGGTTCCCTCCGACTCGTTGCGCTCTCCACGCGTCACTATACTCTTCACGGTCTCGATCAGCATAATGTCCTCGCCGGGTGACTCCATTTCTGGCGGCATCGAGTCGCTAGTCTCCATGCCGACGAAGAAGACGACCACGTGTCCAGCACGCTATCAACGAATTCACTCGCTGCGCACGTTGCATGCAAGACACCTTTGATTATAAGACGTTAGACGCTGGAGGACGACGTTGGAGCAAGCTTCCGCTTGCTCCTGTCTTTAGCCAGCGTTCGCATGCGCTCGATGGTTGACTGAAGAATGGTCGAAGCTTTAAAATGGCATAGAACGCCGGATGCGTACGCATCCGAAGCGACTTTGCTGGATCTCCCACGATGGAACGTGATCATATGGTCGATGGAAGTCGTCCAGATTGGTTGGATTTGGGAACGCTCGCAGGTTTAAACTTTCCTGAAAGGGTTGGATGCCTTTACTTGAAGGTGTACCTTCTTTGTGTGGGTGTGCAAGATGATTGGATGAACTCTATTTGATTAGAATGCTTTAAGATGATTAAGATTATAGAATTAAGTGAAATAATCTAAAGTAACGTAAGACTCCAAAAAGACATTTCTAAAAAAATAATTTCTCTTTTTTTTTAACTTAATCAGTTAATATAATCTCATAGGATAATTATCTGTCGTGATAACTCGTGATAATATTACATATTTTGCTTATGTTATGGTGACATACAGTGAATTAATGCATGACGCGTTCAATGCGATTTTACACATCAAAGATCAAATTTTATTGTAATACTTAAAAAAATATATGTTTTCCGCTTAAGTAATTAATTACTGAATATAGTTCAACCGCTTTATACGCAAAAATTGACGAGTCATGCGCGATAAAATAATCCTTGCGAATGCATTAATTGCATAATGTTCCCAAGGAGAACACATAAGTCATAATGATGTCAAAATGACATCTTTCAAAAGTCATAATTCTATATGTCATGATGACGTCATTGTTGTTCCTGGCAAGGACGGTTTTGTGACGTCACAAAGACAAGATGATAAGTTTAGAAATTTTGAATATGAAGATTATCAACATGGAGAAACAATTTTGAAAGAAGTTCCAAATCTCAACTTAGTGTCAAACATTGCATTGGATAGCATGCATTGTGTTTATCTTGGCGTAGTAAGAAGGATTATTATGCTGTGGATACAAAATGGACCACTCAATGTACAAATTTCAGGCATACAAATAACAGAAATTTCTACTAAACTAGAAGATTTTATGAAAATCTTGCATATTATTATAGCCCTATTCGCTCCAACCATGCCTTTCGTGTTCCACGAATTTCTAACAGTCGTTTGTTCCGGAAAACAAATGATCGTGGGAGAATTCCCTCCACGCCGGAAAAAAGTTATTGTGGCAGGGAACCACAGGTAAAAATTTCAAAGTCCTAGCTCATTTACTTTCGAAACGGGGAACAATCAAAATCTCGGTGGGACACGAAAGTGCATGGTTGGAGGATTACGTCACTGTCGTGTGAAAGGTAAATGAGCATTTTTTTCGATAAAAATGTATTTTTGTGTATAATTTAACCGTATTTAAAATATTTTTGTTGTTAAAAAAAAAATTTAACATTCCACAGAGGTCTATTATGACTCAGAGGCAGGTGGAAGAAATGGGGAAGAGCTACGATTATAAAAAAAAAATTAATTTTTTTACATAAAAAATATCTGTCACACTTCAAATTCGCCTTTTCTTATTCAGAAATTCTTTTTCTAGCATTCTTTAAGTCCTTAAAGTCCTTCTGTACCATTTAAAAATTACCAAATTTGCGGCGACGAAATTAAGTATTCCTATTTAATTAATAATTATCTCTTATTTTTTTTCTCATTTGCACTACTTTTAGCTTTAATTTGCGTTTTGGTTCATTAACCTTCGTCAATTTGTTCGTGAGTTATGATTTTTTAAGTAAAACGAGTCGTAACGTGTGTTTGTTAACATATAATTGTTTTAAAAAAATATTTAAATAAATGATTTCCAAATATTCTTTACATTGATTTTTAGTCGAAGGTACAAAGATATTATAATAATTTTTGGGGAATTTTTCAAAGCTATTAACATTATAAAAAACACGTGGGACTCGAAAGTGCATGGTTGGAGGATTATTGGGGCGAAAAAAACGTTGGAGTGAATAGGGATAGTAATGATGATGGTAATGATAATAATAATAATAATTTCTTTCTCTTATAGTTACAGTAATCATGTATTCAGTTTTGAAATTTCCGGAAACAAAAGACCCACCGGAAATAGTACGCCTACTTTTTGGGTCGACGAACTAAGAATGAAAACAAAGTGGCCACCATATGACCAGCCAGAAAAGATACTTAATACTTAAAGCTATTAGAAAGTGTGTAATGCCAGAAGACGATTGGCCAGAATATACATATGTACTACTCGTGTGTAAATGTGGTAATTTAAGATTTGTTCTAATGTTTTTTGAAGATTGAATCATATCTTTTAAGGTCAACCTAAACAAACTTGCATAGGTGCATAAGCATGTGCATAAAGAGATGGATTGGTCTATTTTCTTATGCACATGTAATGGATCAATCAATTTTCTTATGCTTATGTTTATGCGCTATGCAAGTTTGTCTGGACCTTTGATATATGAAAGGGATCTTTTTATTTTGAGATTATTTATGGATGTAATAATTGTACTTAGGTCTCTGACGCTCGGCATCCCTTCCCTTTTTTAAGTCATTTCCCTTGATTTCTTTTACCTTAGTAGGGGTTTTTTTTTGTTTTTCTTTGTAGACCTGATTTTTTTACACGTTCTAAGATATTAGCAGAAGTCTTCATATAAAGCACTTTTTCTTTATCTACTTCGGTTTAGGCTGTGCATTTGGCTAATCACAGTCAGTCAACAGTTAGTAAATACTACTGTGTATATATAATTTTTTCCGTTTTAAAAAAATAAAGATTACAATAAGTTTTAAATCTAGATACATTCAAAACATTTTTTTATTTTGTTTCTTATTTAAAGCAAAAATTATTTTAATGCCCACATTTCAAGTTTTTTTTTAAATTCTGTTTTATAGGCCAGTCATATTAGACATCAAACCTTCCAATTAATCTTCCCAGGTTGCAACCGCTTTTTTAGACCATTTTTCTTTAGTTTATAGCTATGTAAGCAAAAAGTTTGACTTTTTGGGATAGTCTTAGTTTTTCGCTGTTTTCAGGCCTTAAAATTCATTTGAGACGCATTTTATTATATGCATCTTATTGCAGACAAAATTTGCAATAAAAAAGGACTCTTGTATTTTTTTCGTATGACGAACGCTGATTTTTTTATTGACGCACAAAATTAAGCGTTATCCGACCTGTGAGCAATATTGGATAACCTTGCGGGTCAATAAAAAAATCAGCGTTCGTCGTACAAAAAAAAATACAAGGGTCCTTTTTTGTTGCAAATTTTGTCCATAACAAGATGCATATGATAAAATTCGTCTCAAATGAATTTTAAAGCCTGAAAACAGCGAAAAACTAAGACTTCCAAAAAGTCAAAATTTTTTGCTTACATAGCTACAAACTAAAGAAAAAATTGTCTAAAAAATTGGTTGCACCATGAAAAGTATTCTTTGCAGTTCTCAGATAATGCGTGATTTTTGGGGGATTTTTAATTTTATTTTAAATGACGGGAAAAAAAATCATCGGTGCAACATAAAAAAAAATGACGAAATCGAGGGTTTTCAGGATCGAGTCTTGGAGTTTGACGGCGCGTACAAGCTAAACGACTGACTTGACGATAAATGTTGTTCAAATCATTATTGTAGGGGAGACCGGGGCTAAGCCGACAGCGGGGCGAACTTGACACTAGGCTTTTTGCCAATTTAAATCTATCGTAGAAACTTGCCTTTGCTACTGTAAATGCGTCTTTATGTGCCAGTATTATCAACGGAATTTGGTAACATTCTGAGTTATAGTGTAATTTTTAACGCGACATAAGTGTTTTTGATAGTGAAAAGTAATTTTTCTGATCTCTCGAAAATGTCTACTCTTTCATCGAGCTTTACTCTTGCGAATCTACCGCTAAGTGATTTTGATAGGAAATTCGATGCTTTATACGAATCCGATAATAATTTTTGCATATTTTCAAAATTTATATATTTTTGGAGTAACAAAAGTAAAAAACGACGTTCGGGGCTAAGTCGACACGACGCCACCGGGGCAAAGACGACACTAACCTAAAGTGACATTATCGCAAAAAAGGTCACTGTTTCGTCCGATTCCGATGACGATTTAAGGAACATTTGTTGCGTGTGTTCGGAAAACATTTCATTAGCTTCTAATAACAAACAATGCATCTTACACAACAATGCAACCGTATGGCTCATGACGAATGTGTGCGCACATTTGATCGCGAGTTTACGTGTATAAATTGTTTTTCAGACAGTTCAGCAAAAGATAATTAAAAGTTTAATCTTTTTTTTTCTCATTATTTTAAATAATTGTTTACTTTATTCCGACTTTTTGTTTCTAATACACAATGTCTTTTTATTTGATAAACAATGTATTTTTATTTTTAAACAATAAAAAAATAAGTTCCAGATCAAATTGTGTCGATCAAACAAAGTGTTGAGTTTGCCCCGGCGGGGTGTCGAGTTCGCTCCATCATTTTTCAATTCGAAAATTTGTCTTCGCGTCACTTTTCCTTTCCTGGCGGCAAAACAAAGCGACGTACAGCAAAACTTCCTGAATCAATTTTGTACCTGAAAAAACACTCTTTAAATACATATCATTGAATTTGCCTAAAAATTTTAATTAAATATTAAAAATTGCCTTTGAAAAAATAGTGTCGGCTTAGCCCCGGTCTCCCCTAGATAATTTTATGCTCTACAAAAAAAGGTACGTATAGTTTAGTTACCCTATCTTGCTTAGTTTTTGAGATATTTGAAAAAAAAATATAAAAAATTGTGTTTTTGGTTGATAATATTGTTAATAACTTTTTATTCCCCGTTAATTTTGCAAAGCAAAATAAATCTTACTTATAATACCTCAAATCAAAGCGATTCATGGTGGTTGCAATCTGGGTAGATTAATTGAAAGGTTAACCCCCTAAAGTTTAATGTGACTGGCCTATTATGTAAATATGTACAATATTACATGATTTATGCCCAGTGAAAACAGTCTGCAGTGAAAATGATGTCAATATGACCATTGTTTAGTAAATACTAATAAATTCATCGATTAATTATTATATATGTATATATGTGATTTCGTAACCATTTTTTATCCTAAATGACAGATAATACCTTGTACGAAAACAAAGAATAAAACAATGTCACAACACTTGAATAACGCTAATGTGCAATAAAACAATAATGTCCCATTATTGGAATTAGATACAATAAATACAAATTCTATTAATTTTAATTCCGATAAAAAAAAATTGATTTATCAGATGCAAATAAATATTTTACAAAAATACAAAAATACAAAAATATAAAAATACAAAAATACAAAAATACTGACGAAAATAATCAGCCAAAAAGTCTTTCAATGTTGTCTATAACACTATATCGAAAGAAAAGACGGAAACAATCTCGACTTGCATTTTATCTAATCAAGAATAATGAAAAAATGGAACTGTCCTCAAGTGTAGACAAACATAAGGCAGTTAATATATTGCATAGTGTAGAACAGAATTTCATTCAAGATGTTTCTATAGCAAATGCTACTACAAATGCAACTGTTACTGAAAATAGTGCTACAACACTAGTGAACAACACTAGTGAAATTTTAGATGAAGATGAAGTGATAGAAGCCAGTCCTACGCAAAAAAGTGTTGCGTCAAAAGTCAGACAGTTTTTAGAACTCAAAAGGAAAATTTCTAAAAAGCGTATAGATTTTGGATCATGTCCTTTGACTAAACATACTTCTATACAAATGGAAAATGTTAATACATTGAAAAATAAAGTTAACATAAGTTATCTTTTCCACTTTTAAAAAAGGCGTGTTACCTGAGTGAATTTCGTTTGTATC